AGAATATGCCTATGCCTAAGAAATTATGCCTAAGGCGGGCGCCATTTTTGAAAACAGCAAATTCGGCAAAGAAGCTGTTGTATTGCATTCTTTTGAAACTCTGGCCGCATGATGGCAGTAGTGCTCCACGTTGCGCCAGAACCGCCATCTTTGCCTCCTCTGCTCCCGCCCTTCTTTGTCTGAAAAAGGGAAACCGCCACTCAGAAACAAAAAATGCCAAGAATTTAGACTGCCCTCCATTTTGTTAAAACCAGTGGAACCGGTTAATAGAGCGGCCATTTTACTTTTGCTGTCCTTATCAAGCCAAATTAAGGACTAAAACTATTCAGTCCGGACTTTTGTCTTTTCTCTAAGTAAATTTCCACCGGATTTTGTCCACTTACGTGTGATTTATTTCACTTAGTGGTACTTGTCCAGTAAATTGGCCATTGCCTTTTTAATGCTGTAAATGTGGACAAAGGCAGAAAAAAAATTGCTTAAAACCAATACACAAATCAAGTTTAGATACATGTTTTAGTTCTGCTGATTGAACTAAGAACCTTGCGCATACTAGGCAAGCTCACTTCCTATAACTTACCCCTTAGACTCTTCAGTATGTATATGTACATATGTTATATAGACATACATTTATTTGTACTTAAGATTGACCTTGGGACCTCAGGCAAGGTGGACAAGTAAGTACTCTACCACAGAACCACTCGTGAAGGACATTTTCTTTTTTATTTTTTACTAAATCTTTGGTAGAGTACCTAGTATGTTCTCTCATAGTAAGTTTGAGGCAGGGCCTCCCATTATTGCTTGTGCTGGCCAGGAACTTGCTATGTTGACCAGGCTACTTGGAAACTTTAAATCCTTAGCTTGAGGATTAGGTGAAATTACAAATCTTTTCCACCATGCATGCTTCATCTTCCTTCCCCCACCTTTCTCCCCCCTCAGTCAAGGTCTTACTTTGTGACTCAGGCTGGTCTCCAACTCCAAGTCTCAGGTTCCTGGCCTATCTAGGCTCTGTTTGGGATGAGAAGTCATTTCTGTCACACCAGACCAAATAGTCACTAGCCAGACTGCTCTCCTAGACAAGCAGGAAGTACTTTCTAGTTTTGTGTTGCAATATATTGAAAAGTTTGGCCGGAGCCATAAGAGAAGAAGCATGACAACTCTCATTCCCACATGTCAGTCACATTCTATACTGCTTTAGTGCATACTTAGCAGTTTCTATCAGAGAGTTCTTTGGACTTCTGTCTCATTCTCTTCCGTGAGAATTCACTGTTTTCTACTACCATGAATTATGTTTCACTATTCACTGTGATTTTATGGGGAGGGGGCAAGGTGCATATGTGGATTGCTAACTAAATCTTTGGTAGAGTACTTAGTATGTTCTGTCATAGTAAGTTTAAGAATGAAACTTTCATAGTATGCCAAAAATGATGTGCTGGTCATAAAGAAAAGTGGTTCCAAAACTTATTCCAGAACAAGCAATAACTTTTTGGAATATCTATACACACATCATTTTTATATACATATATACACATATACTTCTAGATTTTATTTCACAAAATAACTAATCTATGTTAAAAATGAGTGGGATAGGTACATTATGGTTTGGATTAGATCAGTTTGTATTTGACAAAGACATGAAGAAAATGAGTTTACATGAATGTCAATCTTTCTTATCAACATTGTAGGCCTGGAGTATAAAAGCAAAAGCTGAAAATACACTAAAAATTACTTCAGAAATGTAGGCACAGTGGGGTGATTTTGTTTGGAGTTAGGGCCCGTAGTCCTGACTGGCCTGGAAATTTGCAGTGGTCTTCCTGCCTGGGATTATTATTGGTGTGAACAATGACATCAGGCCTGTGAGTTGTTTTGTTTGTTTAAACCAGTGGTTCTCAACCTTCCTAATGCTGCGACCCTTTAATACTGTTCCTCATGTTATGGTGATTCCCTCCCACCATAAAATTATGTTGTTGCTACTTCATAACTGTAATTTTGCTAGTTATAAATTGTAATGTAAATACTTGATATGCAGGATATCTGATATTTGACCCCCTGAAAGAGCTTATGACCCACAGGTTGAGAGCAACTGGCTTAAACCAAGCTGTGGTTTGATTACCTCTGTCCCAGAATTCCTGAGTTGGAAGCCAATCACCAAAAGTATGTGTTAATGGTGATTGGAAAAGAAGTATCTGGGTGGTGATTAGGTCAGGAGGACTCTGCTTCCATGAATGGAGTTTTTTTTTTTTTTAATTTAAAAATAATGTATATACATTGGTGTTTCGCCTGCATGCATGTCTGTATGAGGGTGTGTGTCAGATCCCCTGGAACTGGAGTTACAGAGAGTTGTGAGCTGCCATGTGGGTACTGGGAATTGAACCCGGGTCCTCTGGAAAAAGAGCCAGTGTTCTTAACCACTGAGCCATTTCTCATGAATAGAGTTTTGAGGGGGGAAAATGTTCTCTTTTTGAGAGAGGGTCTCTCATGAAGCCCTGGTTGCACTGAACTATGTGGAGCAGTCTGGCCTGGAAGTTTCTGGGAGACTCCTGTCATTGTCCCTGGCAGTTCTAGGATTGCTTTCTAGGTGTCTGCCACCATGCCCAACTGACAGGAGTAGATTTGTTAATTGTGTTAAACACGTGGCAGTTGTTAATTGTGTCCTGGAGAAGATTTCCAGGCTTCAGAGTTTTCTCCTTTCTCTGCCTTCATCCACCAAGTTTAGTCCTTGAAGCACAAGAAACTCCAAGGGAAGTAAAACAAGTTGGAATGGACAAGATTCAGTGGAAACTTTCTTCTGAAGTTAACAAAATGCTAGCCATCCAAGTTCCTGGGTCTTTGTCTTTAGGTCCCGTTTAGTATTATTATTATTTTTAGGCTTGGAGGGCAGGAGCAAAGCGGTCCAGGGTGGCCCCTGTGGCTGTATGTGGAGCACTGTCGCCATCGTGCAGGGACAGTGACAGCACACAACAGCAAGCACCACTACAGCTTCATTCCCGTGAGTCGTAGCAATGGGGAAGAATTCCTGGTAGGATATGCCTGGGTTGGAGTTTGGGGCCCAGTGCTTTTCCCCTAAAGCAAGAAGAGAAACTTGGGCACCGGTGCTCCGTTGGTGTTAAAAATGAAGAGTGAGGGGCCAATGGAGGACTTGCAGGTGCTTAGACAAGCAGACAGAGAAGTCGTGGGGTGGGGTTTCGGTTCCTTCTATCTGGGGCATGACAGAAAAGAACCACAGAAAATGCAGACTCGTGCTGAGGACGCCTGCCTCCTGCTCCTTATAGTATGAGTTGGCAGGATTTTAAGTAATGTCATCTTACTAAGATTCAGCATCTCACAAACTAGCCCAAGCTACTCCGGAACACATTATGTAGCCCAAGCTCCTCTCAAAGTTCCATGTCTTAGCTGCTAGGGGAAAGTGTAAGGCTGAAAGTACAATAAACAATGAAGTATAGAAACAATAACATGTGACTACAGTTAAGCTATGGGAAATAGAAATCGTGATTGGCCACTAAACTGGGAAAATGCTTGTGCCCATGCCCCAGTGTGACATGAAACCCAGAGAGAAGACCAGTGGTCTCTCCAATTGGAATTCAGTCATTTCAGCACATGGATTGGATAGCTCATGATAGCGGTGGGGAAACAGCAAGGCCAGGCCAGTGCCAAGGCAGGAGGCAGGAGCAGATCTCAGGAGCATCCAGTTGTTGTTTGGAGGGCCTGAGAAGAAGATTGAGGAGGTATGCCTTGTTACACAGAGAAACCCTGTCTAGAAAAACCAAAAAAAAAAAAAAAAAAAAAAAAATAATAATATGAAGAAGTTTGCCTTCTAGTTGTTTTACATGCACAAGAAAGATGAGGACCAAGGAGCTCAGGGGTTGGGGAAGGGGAGGATTGTGAGTTTGAGACTAGCCTTGGACACATGGTGTCAGCCGGTCCAAGGAAAGAAAGAGAGGAGAAAGAACAAAATCAAGTGTTTTTTTTAATAACATTGGTGTGAATGATATGCTTAGGGTAATACTTAACTAAAGAGATGATGAGAGAGTCGTACATTGGAAATGATCAACTATTACCAAAAGATTGGGAGGTGACCTACGTAACTAAGGGGTACAGTCCGTGTTCGTGGGGGGGAAAGTTAAATACAGTTAAGTTGGCCATACTGCCTGAAGAGATCTGCACTGTTAAGACAGACCTCATCATTAACTTAATGACCATTGTGCAGAAATAGAATGCCTGATCCCAAAGTTCATATGGAATTTTGAGAGACCAAGGATCCAAAATGATCTTAAAATAACCAATACACAGCATCTAGATGTCCTAACTTAATATCAAAGTGTCGGGGTTGGGATTTAGCTCAGTGGTAGAGTGCTTGCCTAGCAAGCACAAGGCCCTGGGTTTGGTCCTCAGCTCTGAAAAAAAAAATCAAAGTGTCATTAGTCAAAGAAGTATGTTATATACTTTAAGGGCATGTAGACAGGTCAGTGAACTCAACTGCAAGTCGAGAAATAGAATAGTATGTGAGGATCCATTGTTTGGTGACAGAATCTCACAATCTAGCCTAAGGTACCCTGTAGCATATTATGTAGGCCAATCTCCTCAACGTTCCATGTCTTTCTTGCCAAGGGAAAGTATATGACTAAAAGTATGGTAAACAATACAGTATAAAAACAACAACGTGTATACTGTTAAGCTATAGGAAGCAGGAATAGGCCACTAATGGGGAAAAATGGTTCTGCCTTAGTTCCAGTGTGACATGATGAAACCCTAAGAGAAAATCAGTGATGTATCTTTCCATGTAGGGATTTATACAGCATTTGGTGTGGAAAGGTATCTGGATGCTCTTTACATGCCACTAAGGTCAGCTTCCCACTGGACACCCAAGACCTGTTTTCGAGATCTATTGTCTAGATCTCCAATGGAGCACAATACCCAAGGAAGGTGCAGTGTGAATCTAGGTAACAATTAGATTTGCTTTCCTTTAAGCACTGAGGTGACAGCATTTTTTTTTTCCTACCTAGAACTAGATGCCGAGATCTGCCACTCAAGACCAGAAGACAGTCAGCCACGCTGAGAAAGCACTGGCAGGAGAATACTGCTATGTACAGACCAGGACAAATGCAAGATTTCATCACTGACCGGACACTGATTTCTTCAAAAGAGAAGATGAAAGAGGAGGGTGGGTGCCTCCGAACTCATTTTCATTTCTCTTTCCTTCTTGCTTGAGTTGTTTTTGACACGTATTAATTTATCCACTGACCTATATATCTACTTAATGACTTGTTTGTTTGTTTTTGCCTTTTGGTACTAGAGTTCCAATGCAGGTCCAGATCCATTACATATGACATTGATATAAAATAAAAAATAGAAGCTAAATTCTAGGAGTACAGCATCTTCCCAACAGGGAACCACCTCTGTACTGGAGTTATTTTCAGACTGGAAAGGCAGGGAAGAGGTGAATAAAGGGCACTGAGCATTCTAGGCTCTGGGACAACACTGCCATCAATGCGGAAAAACTTTCATAGATACTATCCCATGTGCATAGACTTCTTCATCAATGCTGCTTATAACCATTTTGAAGGCGAGGACCAGGGGATTCATAAAAGGCCAAACTGCTTAAGCCTCCTACCATTTTTTTTTTCTTCCCCTATAAGGAGACTGGGCAAAACTCAAAAACAACCATCCATCTTCTTTGGGGCCTTTGTCTCTGGGTGGCATTTTTTTCAGACAGGAAGGGCGGGAGATAGGCACTCTTCTGAGCCTTCCTGAAGCTCTACTGCCATCATGAGGTTGCAGTTTTGAAAGTCACAGCGCCACTGAGCTTCCTTCCCATGATTCTTAGCCATAGAGGAAGATGGCGATTGCAGAAACTGCAACTGTGGGTGCTTGCTTGGGGTTCCTGTGTCTTCTCAGACCCAAATAGAAACATGGACTGTAGAGCTTTCTCATCAGAACATGGAGAGTGAGGCGCCTTCTTGCCCTAGGACACCAGCTAAAAGATTCATATTGCAAGTTGAGCAGCACAAAACCCCGCCCCTCCACTTCCTCTTCCTGGACCTCAGCACAGCTGTGCACTGGTCTCTCCAACAATAGGGTGCTTTCTCATCAAAGGCAGATAATGAGGTGCACAGAGAGGACCAACAGTTACTTGCACATGGAGACACCATAAATTTGGACAGGCCTCCATCCTGGACAGAACCAGAACAGTCACTCACTAATGCATTCTTGGGGCGCTTGTGTCCTGCTGCTCTGCCCTGAAACAAGAGTTAGCAGACTTTCCTCTGCTGTCACTGCACTATGAGTCTTGAGTCCTTCATGGATTCTGACCTTAGAGAAAAAATTTTCACAGATACTTTTTTCAGTTTTTACTCACCTAGGTGAAAAAAATCTTCATAGACATTTTCTGAAATTTTCACTCATAGTTTTGGCTTTCTATTCAATACTTTTTTTAAAATTTTTACAGTGGTTGTGATATTTTTCTTTGGCCCCCATCTCTTCTCCCTCCGTCTTTATCTCTCTCCCTCTCTCCCTCTCTCCCCCTCCTCTTTCAATGGAAAGATTCTCCCAGAATTTCCACACCGACCTAAAACTGGTGCATGGCCTACACCATCACTCAGACTAGCAGCCTAATCAATCTTCTTCCTCACCTCTCCTAGCTGGAGCATAGAGAGAGTCCTCCTGTCCTGGTCCTCGTCTATTTTTAATGGCCCGTTTGTCTTCACACAGCTCTTTTCTGTGTGTGTGAGTGCCTGTGTGTTTGGTGGTGGCGCTAACACTACATCCTAATGTGGGTCGGAGGACAAGTGCAGGGCTGAGGTCACTCCTTCCACTGTTTACATCCTAGAGGTCCAACTCAGGACTTCAGGCTAGCCTGCTCTAAGATCTCTAGCAGGCCCGCTGTCTAATACTTGGGAAGGCTTGAGACATCTTCAAAACAAACTGAAATCCTGGCATGTGCAGTGGGAGCACTTTGCCTATCAAGCAACAGGCTCTAAGTATTTCCCCATCACAGCAACCGAACGAAGCATCTTCACTGACACAGAGAACTCAGCTACTTGTAATTGTTAAGATCAAAGAGACTTCGAAGCCTGGGGAGGACAAGAGTCCCACGTCTCTTGAAAATCCACTGCTCTGCATGGGTCAGCATCAGGGAACTTTGTTATAACTCTGATAGTAGTTCTTTATTGTGTGCAAATTATGACAAATAAACACTGCCAGTCTTTTAAGGAAACCTTAAGAATCTGGGATGGGTAAAAAATGAACAGTTAAAGAAAAGGAAATGAAAATATCCCTCAGCCATAACCATTGCCCTTCATGTGTTAACTTCATGTTACTTGCCTTCTAAATCTCACAGCACATGTTTATTGTGTAAAAGTTACAAAAATTAAAAGTTCCAAAATTTTAAATAACACTAGGAAGCTGGACAGAGTGAAAATGAACAAAAGGGAAAATGTCCACTAAAACAGAATGAAAGAGTCCTGTGACATTGGCTACAGTTAGGCCTCAGATTGGCTTCATGTGTAAAATAAGACAAAAAGTAAAATACTTTCCAAGGTACTCAGAGCTGGGCAAAACTAAGGGCAGCCATCTTCTCTGGTGCGTTTCTCTCTGGGTGGCGTTTTTTCAGACAGGAAGGGTGGGAGACAAGCACTCACAAGATGTCTCCCGGACCTCTACTGCCATCATGAGGATGGAGCTTAAAAAAATCACAGTGCCACTGAGCTTCCTTCCCATGATTCTTAGCCATGAGGGAAGATGGCAATTAAAGAAATTACAACTGTGGGTGATTGCTTGGGCTTCCTGTGTCTTCTCAGGCCCAAATAGAAAAATATTGTATAGAGCTTTCTCATCAAAACCTGGAGAGTGAGTTGCCTTCCTGCCCTTGGACACCAGCTAGTAGATTTATATTGCAAGCTGAGCAGTGCAAAACCCCGCCCCTCCACTTCCTCTTCCTGTACCTCAGCACAGCTGTGCTCTAGTAACTGGGCCCTCAGTCAACAAGGTGTACATTAAGACTTTGTTTCATTGATATTGACCATTCTGATTGGTGTAGGATGAAATCTCACCATAGTTTTGATTTACATTTTCCTGATGGCTAACATGTTGATCATTTCTTTAAGTGTTTCTCAGCCATTTGAGTTTTTTCTTTCGTCAATTCTGTGTTTAGAACTGTACCCTATGTTTTAAATTGGATTATTTGTTAACGATCACTCTGTTTTTTAGTTCTTTATATATTTTTTAATTGTAGTCGGCCAGTGGATGTATAGTTAATAACAAAATCTACACATTCTGTCACTTCCTGCTTTGTCCAAATGATGGTGTCATTTGCCAAGTGGAATTTTTTCAGTTTGATGTCATCCCATTTATTAATCGTTTATTTTAGTGCCTCTGCTAATAATGTTCTGTTCAAACAATCAATGAGTTCAACATAATTCCCCATGTTCTCTTTTTTTTTTATTAGTGTATTTTGGTTATGTTGAGGTTTTTGATCCATTTGGAATTGTGTTTTGTACTGGCTGATAATGATAGATGTATTTGCATTATTCCAAAGGCAGCCTTACCATTTGGCAAGAATCATTTGTTGAAGATGCTGCCTTTTTTCTAGTGTGTATTTCTTGCTTCTTAATAAAAAATCAGGTTTCCATAGTTGAGTGGATTTATGTCTGGGTCTTCAATTTGATTCCACTGATCCACATGTTTGGGTTTGTGCCAATTCCCTATTGTTTTTATTAGTATACCTACCTCTGGTGATACCTCGATCCTACTTACTTACTTTATTGTTCAGGAGTATTTTAGCTATCCCCTCATCCTCCAGTCTGAGACATGGTTTCTCTGTGTAACAGCTCTGGCTGTCCTGGAACTCACTTTGTAGACCATGTTGGCCTAGAACTCACAGAGATCCCCCTCCAGTTTCCTCCTCAGTACTGGGATTAAAGGTGCATGCCACCACTGCCTGATTTGTTTGTCGTGTGTGTGTGTGTGTGTGTGTGTGTGTGTGTGTGTGTGTGTGTGCGTGTGTGTGTGTGTGTGTGTGTGTGTGTGTTTCCATATGAAGCTGAAATTGTCCTTTCATGGTATCTGAAGAATCGTTTTGAATTTTGAGGAAGATTGCCAAGAATCTGTAGACTACTTTTGGTAGGATGGCCATTTTTCCTATATTAATCCTATTGATCCGTGAGCACAGGAGATCTTTCTGTCTTCTGCTATCTAATTCAATGTCTTAATGCTTATTTTTATTTTATTTATTTATTTTGGTTCTTCAAGACAGGGTTTCTCTGTGTAGCTTTGGCAACTTTCCTGGAACTCATTCTGTATCCCAGGCTGGACTCGAACTCACAGAAAGCCGTCTGCCTCTCCCTCTTGCGTGCTGGGATTAAAGAGGTGCGCCACCACCTCCCAGCTTGTCTTAACATTCATTATACAAGTCTTTGTCTTGCTTGGTTAAAGTTACCTCAAGATATTTTATTTATTTGAGGCTATTTTGAAAGGTGTTTGTTTCCCTGATTCCTTTCTCAGCCCTTTTGTCACTGCTGATTTTGGGGAGTTTAATTTATATTCAGGTACTTTGCTTAAAGTGTTTATCGGGTGTGGGCATTTCCTAGTGGAATTTTTAGGGTGACTTATGTCTACCATCATATCATCTGCAATTAAAGATACTTTGACTTCTTCTTTCCCAATATATCCTTTTGCCATCCTTCCATTGTGTTGTTACTCAAGCAAAGACTTTCTAAGGAGAGACAGGACCCACCTAACAGGCTAGTGCAGAGAATTTGATGTCATTTGACATGCTCAGTGACAGGAAACAAACACCCTTCTTTGAGGGGACGATTTGACTTACGATACAAGTTTCATAGATGCCTGCACCAGCATGCGTGGCTTTACAATACAGACCTGTCAAACTTTGTATGACTCTGTCAAAGACTGCCCAGAAATCCAAACTGAGAAATACCAGTTTGTTTGTTTGTTTTAAGATCTCTTTTGAGAATCCTCTGCGTAAATCTTGGAGTGCAGGGTTTCATTTTGCTAAGTTTTCTGCCTACTTCCCTTGATATCCATGCTTAAATTGACATTTAAACTGTGTGTCACCTCCAAAGGTTCCTCAGAAATACAGGTATGAGGAGCTATATGTAACAGTCCAATTTAAATGCAAATTTGTTGAATATTTAGTTTTATTTACAGGACAAAGATAAAATTCTGTGATCCATAGATCTAACTGGAATTTATAATCCTTTCAGTATTTGTTTCACTCCAAATACAATGGAGCATTGTATCTTGAGACCTACATGACAGGCACGTAGTCAACCTCCAGCTGGACACCCAGGTCCCTTAGCCTGGATCACGATGTGGGTATGGTGCCTAGGGAAAATGTGAAGTGAATCTGGCAGAGAAGCGGGTCTCCTGGTTTCTAGATTTGATTGATAGGCAGCATTTTCTTCTTCTACCTAGAACTGAAACCTAAGATTTCACCTCAAGACCACAAGACAGTCATCCACCTGGAGTAAGCACTGGAAGTAGAATGCTGCTGGCAGAAGAAGAAACTGAAGGCTTGATCATTGACTGGCCAGTGACTTCTTCAAAATAGATGATGCCTGAGGAAGGTGGGTGGGTACCTCAGATCTCCCTGTCTTTCCTGCTGGCTTAGATCTAATAAATTCCATGTACTTTCCTTCTTCCATTATTTGGAGTTTTGTCTTTTCTGTTTTGATGGTGGATTCCGATGAAGGTACAGATCCACTGGCTGTGGCATTGACATACAATTAAAATGGAAGCGAAACTAACTCTCAGTAAATCACTTTTCCTCCCTTTGCAGGAAGAAGGCAGGGCTGCCACAGTTGCTGGACTCTGCCTCTGCACTGTAGTTTTTTTCAGATTGGAAAGGCGGGAGCAGAGAGGCATGTGACTGGTGCCTTCTGTGCTGTGGGTCAACACCGCCATCATGCGGAAAATGTTTTGTATATCCTCGCTCATGCACACACTGCTTCTTCCTCAGTGCTGCTTTGAGCCGTTTTTGAAGGTGAGGGTTAGCGCAATTCATAAAGAGCAGAGCTTGGCCTCCTTCCATTTTCTCTTTGTGTTTTCTGTAGGTAGACTGGAATCATGGGACCCTTCAGAGTCTTAATGTAGACCCTGTTGACTGAGGGCCCAGTTAATAGTGCAAGGCTGAGCTGAGGTCCAGGAAGAGGAAGTGGAGGGGCGGGGTTTTGCATTGATCAGCTTGCAGTATGGATCAACTAGGTGGTGTCCTAGGGTGGTTAGGCGCCTCACTCTCTGGGTTCTGATGAGAAATGTCTAAGTTGCACGTTTATGTCGGGGCCTGAGGAGAAGTCAAGGAAGCCCAACTAGGCACCTACAGTTGTGGTTGTCTCAAATCGCCATCTTCCGCCGTGGCTAAGAATCATGGGAAGGAAGCTCTGTGGCGTTGTGATTTTTGAAACTCCATCCTCATGATGGCAGTAGAGCTCCAGGAGAGACCTTTTGAGCATTTGTCCCCCGCCCTTCCTGTCTGAAAAAACGCCACCCAAAGCCAAATGCCCCAAAGAAGATGACTGCCCTAAGTGTTGCCCAGCTTTGAGTACTTTGAAAATTTTGTGTCTTGTTTTTCCCATTCAGCCAAGCTGAGACTTAAATTAGGCAACCTCATAGGACTCTTTTCCTTGGGTTAGGGAAGATATTTCCCATTTCATTCGTTTTCACTTTGTCCAGCAGCCTAGCGTTTTTTAAATTTTTGGTATTTTTTTCTTGTAATTTTTATAAAATTAGTATGTCCTCTGAGATTTAGAAGCAAAGTAGTATGAAGTTAACACATGCCAATGGCTGTAGCTGAGGGATACAATGCTCTAAGCCCTGTTTTTGAACCTCAATTTTTGGGCTGGGGACTATGTACTACTTATGTGCCTGGAAACTTCCCAATTCCTAATACTGTGGGAAATACCCATGGCAATAAATCTTACTTATAGGCTGATTAGAATGGAATTTCAGACAATAATTGTTGAGATTCATAATGATATACAATTACTGTGCTGAAAATGTTTTTATTTTTATTATTTATTTATCTATCTATCCATCCATTTATTTATTCAGTCATTCATTTTTTGTTCTTTAGACACGGTTTCTCTATGTATATTTCTAGACGCAAATTCCCTCTGTAGACCAGGCTGTCCTCAAACTCACAGAGATCCACCTGCCTCTCTGCCTTGGGAGTTCTGGTATAAAGTTGTATGCCACCTCCCCTTGGCCTATTAATCATTTGTACAGAATTGTTTTTACATGTGTGTATCTATCCTGGAGGTTGAGAAAATTCATTGAATAATAAAATATTTTTTCAGTAACTTGGTATTGCCTTTGGACATCAGATTCCACAATTTCTCAGAGAATAGCCTTTCTGAAGCCTGCATTCATTAATTTGTACTACAAACTCCGTATTATATTTAAGTATTATATCTTACTCAACTTTATATACTTCTATAACTCCAACTTGTGCGTGCCTGAGTACACCCCCACACACAAGCACAAGAAAGACCTAGAAGTTAAAAACTGCCTCATTAGCTTCATTATGCAGTTGATGGGAACTAATGCAGAGACCCACAATTGGACAATGTGCTCAGAATTGGACACTTAGGGAACACTAGATCATAAATGGGATGTCTTCATCAAATCCCTCCCCTCAGGGCTAAGGCAAGTGTGAAGAAGAGGAGGCAGGAAGATTCAAAGAGCCAGAGGGCATGGATGACACCAAGGAGATAGTGTTCTCCAGACATAAGAGGACTGACACACGTAGGAACTAGAGACTGGCAGCACCCACAGGGTGCACAGTATCTCCACAGCATGCACAGTATCTCCACAGCATGCACAGGGGCCCAGCACTGTGAGTAGAGATGGACATGATCCCTTCCCTAACCCAGAAGCTATCTCCAATTTACCCCCACATGCAAAGGACATTTTAGTTTTCTCTAATGGAGTCTCATTGGGTATATAAAGCGCACTTATGGCTAGTCCTTTCTTTTGGATATTTTTTTTATCATACTAGTCTTTTGTTTGTGTGTTATGGTTTCTGATTTTTATGAATTTTTCTTTTACATGTGTTGTATTTGTCTGTGATGCTTGTACTTTTTCTTTTTAAAATTCTGGTTGGTTTTATTTGCCTTTTTTTTGTTCCTTTTTTTTTTTTTTTTTTTTTTTGAGATAGGATCTCCCTAGTTCTGGCTGTCCTAGACCCCACTATGTAGACCAGGCTGTCCTAGAACTCACAAAGATCTTCCTGCTCTGCCTCCTGAATGCTGAGATTAAAGGAATGAGTCACCATACAGGCTCTTGTTTGTTTTTTAAAGAGAGAAAGAAAGAAGGACTGGAGTTGGATGGGTGTGGAAATGGGGGGATCTGGGAGGAGATGGGCAAGGGGAAACTATGATCAGAATATAGTGTGTAAGCAAATTAATTTTCAATTCAAAAGAAAAATACTTCAAAGCAAAGGAATGTGTTTTCCTTCCATTTTAAATGGAGACCTGAAGGATGAGCGAGGCCTCTGTCTTCTAATGGAAGTTCATACCATATGCAGAGACCACAATTTACAAAGTAGTGACAAAGATGTGAGCTGTCTTTGCCACTTCTTCGGTCTTCAGACAAAACGTTTCCAACAGTTTGACCCAGAATACAAGAAATGGAGGCGCACTACAGGCTTGAATGTGAGGACAGCCAGGTAAGTAGTCAGTTGTTGGCTGAATCTGTTCTTTTTTTTTTTTTTAAATTTATTTATTTTATTGATTTTACATCCTGACCACAGTTTCCCCCTCCTTCCTCTCCTACCATTCTCTCCTTTCACTTCCCCTTCACCCTCCATCCCCCCAGTCCACTCCTCTCTTTTTCTTAAGAAAAGGACAGGCCTCCCATGGATATCAACAAAGCATGGACTATCAAGTTGCAGTAAGACTTGGCACTTCCCCTTGTATTAAGGCTGGGTAAGGCAATCCAGTATGAGGACTAGGTTCCTAAGAGCCAGACAAAGCCTTAGGGACAACCTGTGCTCCTGCGAAGGCCTAGACTTAACTTTACAGGCTCGGGAATATGCCATGATAACTCAAACGGATACAGAGCAGTATTCTCCTGCAGACATCCTGTCTGCTGTTTATACAGGAAAACCTAACAGGATCCAGATACTCCTGCAGACATCCTGTCCGCTGTTTATACAGGAAAGGAAAACTTTACAAGATCCTGTCTGTGGTTTATGGCCCTTGGAGATATCTAGATAATTCTGCTGAGCAGTCCAGATAATCCTGTTCAGCGGATTGTGGTTTTGCACCCAAAGTCTAGACCAATAGTTTCAAAAAATCATCTTGCCCTTTCTACCCAGTCCCAAGTTGCCAATTCCCACCTTGTGGTTTTTCCCTTTAAAAATCCTCTACACCTGGGCTCGTGGACGTCACCACATTTCCTTCCATCTGCCATGTGGTGGCCCAGGTTGAACTGGAATAAAAGGACCCTTATGTGCTTGCACCGGAAACCGGCTCCTTGGTGGTCTCTGGGGGTTTCGTGAAACGGGTACAACACTCACACTGTTAGAAGTTCCACAAGTAGACCAAGCTATACAACTGTCACATATACGTAGAGGGCTTCGGTCAATCCCATGAAGACTCCCAGGTTATTACTTCAGACTCTGTAAGTTCATATGAGCCAGGTCAATTGTTTCTGTTGATTTTCTTGTGATGTCCTTGACCCTTCTGGCATCTACAATCCTTCCTCACTCTCTTCAGCAGGATTCCCTGAGTTCTGACTACTATTTGGCTGTGCATTTCTGCATTTGTTTCCATCAGTTACTGGATGAAGACTCTCTGACTACAATTGGGATAGTCACCACCAATCTGATCACAGGAGATGGCCAGTTAAGGTAATATATCCACTATTGCTAAGAGCCTTAGCTGGGATCATCCTTGTAGATTCATTGGAGTTTCCCTTGCATTAGGTTTCTATTTGACCCTGAAATGCCCCTCCTTTCCAATCATCTCTTTCAGTACTCTGCTGTGGGATGTTCTGTATGGCAAATGTGTTGCTCTGATTGGTTAGTAAATAAAACACTGATTGGCCAGTAGTCAGGCAGGAGGAAGTATAGGCGGGACAAGGAGGAGAATAAAGCTGGGAAGTGGAAGGCTGAGTCAGAGATACTGCCAGCTGCCAAGATGACAAACAGCATGTGAAGATGCCGGTAAGCCACGAGCCACGTGGTAAGGTATAGATTTATAGAAATGGATTAATTTAAGCTGTAAGAACAGTTAGCAAGAAGCCTGGTACGGCCATACAGTTTGTAAGCAATATAAGTCTCTGTGTTTACTTGGTTGGGTCTGAGGGGCTGTGGGACTGGCAGGTGAGAGAGATTTGTCCTGACTGTGGGCCAGGCAGGAAAACTCTACCTACAAGTGGCGCCCAATGTGTTGGCAAGAGTTTCCACCTAAAACCTGAGAAAAGATTCTAAAACTGAGCTAAAAACAGTTTCCTAATTGTCTCTCTCAAATGAGCGGCAGCTGCTGGTTTTAGCTACTGGTGGGTTCCTAGCGTGTGTGTGCCATCTGCAGTATGGCGGGAATGAGGCCTCTGCAAGTGGCACATTAAGGTGCGTGGTGGATTTAGCCTTTGCTAGTACAAACAAAAAAAAAAGAGGTTTCTGGGCTACACACTGCTTGGATAAAAGCATAGAGCCACTATAGCTCCCAGAGCTGGTGGTAAACGTACCACCACCATGTTGGGAAGCTGAGGTGGGCAGAGCCAGCAGCCATAGCGCCCTTTCAGTCCTACAAATGCTGCAGTTTAAAGCAATATATTCACAATAAGACAGATTCAGATATAATAGTTTACAATGTGGGTAAAATATACGTAGGCTTGAAAGAGACAAAAAAGGTGATATATACAGTTATAGAAACAAATACATAGTTTTAAAAAATAAAGTCTTTAAAGAGACAGTAAAATTAATATAAAAAATAAGCCATATAAAGATGAATATTACACAGAGAATCTGGATTGTTTTATCTTTGGGATTTTTAACTGCAGAGAAACATTTGATCATAAAAGATGGTGAGTTAGACCAATATGTATATTTTAAAGATACCTTGACTTCAAAATTTGGATGTAAGGATGTGTTGCTTTGGAAAGGAGACTCTGCTTTTGTACCCACAGAAAGCCAGAGGCTATGGATTTGTTCCAGATTAAGATACATCAGGTTTGACCAGCCAAGACCCCTGAAAGGTCTCTGATGACACCATGGCCCAGATGATCCAACATCCAGAATGGTTTGAAGGCAACTGGCTCAGACAATACAGCCTCATGGACTATTCCATAATCCTTAAATTTTCTTTGTGTCCCCATAAGATATAGCACCCCCCTCCAGCAGGAAGTAGTAAGAGAAGGTACGCCCAAATTCCCAAATTATATGTAATTTTACTTTGTTAAGGTTAAAACCTTCCTTTTTGAAAAAAAAAAGCAAAGGGGAAGTGCTGTGGGATGTTCTGTATGGCAAATGTGTTGCTCTGATTGGTTAGTAAATAAAACACTGATTGGCCAGTAGTCAGGCAGGAGGAAGTATAGGCGGGACAAGGAGGAGAATAAAGCTGGGAAGTGGAAGGCTGAGAGAGACACTGTCAGCCACCAGGATGAAAAACAGCATGTGAAGATGCCGGTAAGCCATCTGCCACATGGCAAGTTCTAGATTTATAGAAATGGATTAATTTAAACTGTAAGAACAGTTAGCAAGAAGCCTAGTATGGCCATACAGTTTATAAGCAATATAAGTCTCTATGTTTACTTGGTTGGGTCTGAGCGGCTGTGGGACTGGCAGGTGAGAGAGATTTATCCTGACTGTGGGCCAGACAGGAAAACTCTAGCTACAGTACTCTCCCTCTCCAATCACCCCCCAACCCAATTCCTCAAGTCTTCATCCCAACCCACCCCCAGTCCACCCAGGATATCTCTTCTATTTCCCCTTTCCAGGGAGATCTGAGCATCTCCCCTTGAGTGCTCTTTGTTACCTAGCTTCTCTGGGTCTGTGGATTGTAGCATGGTTATCTTTTACTTTACAGTTAGTATCTACTTATGAGTAAGTACATACCACATTTGTCTTTCTGGGTCTAGGTTACCTCATTCAGGATGATTTTTTTTCTAGTTCTATATTTGCCTTCAGATTTCCTGATATCATTGTTTTTAACAGCTGAGTGATACTCCATTGTGTAAATGTACCACATTTTCTTCATTCTTCAACTGAGGGACATCTAGGTTGTTTCCAGGTTCTGGATAGTACCAATAAAGCTGCTATGAACATAGTTGAGTGAATGTCATTATGATAGGATGGAGTGTCCTTTGGGTACATGCCCAAGAATGGTATAGCTGGGTCTTGAGGTAGATTGATTCCCAGTTTTCTGAGAAACCGCCATATTGATTTCCCAAGTGGTTGTACAAGTTTGTACTCCCACCAGCAGTGGAGAAGTGTTCCCCTTGCTCCACATCCTCTCCAGCATAAGCTGTCATTTATGTTTTTGATCTTAGCCATTCTGACAGGTGTAAGATGGAATCTTAGAGTGGTTTTGATTTGCATTTCCCTGATGGCTAAGGATGATGAACATTTAAGTGTATTTCAGTCATTTGAGATTCCTCTCTTGAGAATTTTCTATTTGGGTCAGTACCCCCGTTTTTTAATTGGATTATTTGGTATTTTGATGTTCTTTATACATTACTTCAGTTCTTTATATATTTTACAGGTCAGCCCTTTGTTAGATATGGGGTTGGTGAAGATCTTTTTCTCTAGGCTGCCATTTTTTCTTGCTGACAGTATACTTTGCCTTATAGAAGCTTTGCAGTTTCACCAGGCCTTGTTTATTAATTGTCATCTTAGTGTCTGTGCTATTGGTGTTCTGTTCAGGAAGTAGTCTCCTGTGCCAATGTGTTCAAGGCTACTTCATACTGTATCTTCTATCAGGTTCAATGTAACTGGATTTATGTTGAGGTCTTTAATCTACTTGGACTTGAGTTTTTTGCATGGTGATAGATATAGATCTATTTGCATTTGTCTACATGTCGACATTCAGCTATGCCAGGACCATTTGTTGAAGATGCTTTCTTTTCTCCATTGTATAATTTTGGCTTCTTTGTCACAAATCAGGTGTCTATAGTGTGGATATATGTCTGGGTCTATAATTTAATTCCATTGATCCACATGTCTGTTTTTATGCCAATACCATGCTGTTTTTATTACTGTAGGTCTGTAGTAGAGCTTGAAATCCAGGATGTTGATACCTCTGGTAATTCTTTTATTGTGCAAGATTGTTTTAGCTATCCTGGGTTTTTTGTTTTTCCATATGTAGTTGAGTTTTGTTCTATCAAGGTCTGTAAAGAATTGTGTTGGGATTTTGATGGGGATTGCATTGAATCTGTAGATTGCTTTTGGTAAGATTGCTACTTTTACTATGTTATTCCTATGTTTCCAAAAGCGTGGGAAATCTTTCAATCCACTGATATATTCTTCAATTTCTTTCTTCAAAGACTTCCAAGTTTTGATCATACAGGTCTTTCACTTGCTTGGTTAGAATTATCCCAAAATATGAATCTGTTCTTTTAAGGCCCAAACTTCACTCTTCATTTCTAGACAGGATCCAACTAACTGGCTAGAGTAGACAATTCAATGTGATTTGAAATGCTTGGTGACAGATAGGAAACACACTCACTCACAACATGGGGAGAATTTCACTCATGAGAAAATACTAACAGTGGAGGTGGTAGGTTGAGGCCACAATTTGGTTTCAGAGAACACCAGACCAAGAGCACAGCACTATGAGCTTGTCCCTTCCAACTGAGCAAAATGAAAGGCAGCCCTATTTCCTTTCTGTTTTTTTTTTTTTTTTCCAAACATGAAGGGCGGGAGAAAACATCTCAAAATGGCGCTTTCATAAGCATGTAGAACAATACTGCCACCATGAGGAAACAGTTTCAAAACAGATTGTGCCATTCTAGCTCCCTGTCCTCTCCTCAGAGTAAGGTCTTGAAAGGCATGGAGAAGCTGGTGCTAGATACTGGGCTTCCTAGAGTTCTTCTAAGACCGTAGAACCTGTATGCTCATATACTCCAGGTTTTATAATTAATAGAGCAGTTATGTTTACTGTTAGAATATTTTTGTGCTGTTCTCCATAAGAATCTTTTAGTTGGGCTGGAGAGATGGCTCAGTGGTTAATAGCACTGCCTGATCTTCCAGAGGACCCAGGTTCAATTTCCAGCACCCACCTGGCAGCTTACAACTGTCTGTAACTCCAGTTCCAGGGGATCTGACACTCATACCAGTGCACATAAAATAAAGTTAAATCTATTATTTGAAAAAAGAATCTTTTGATTAGTCCTGAGTGCATCAAATTGAATAGTAGATGACTTGAGATTGCTTATTTTGATGTGATCTCTTAATTTCTGTATTTTTTCTTTAAAAAGGAGCTTTCTTGTTTTTTCTGAATCTATGTCCAAAATATTTAAAATTATTGGCTCAAGCCAGTGGTGGTGGTGGCACACGCCTTTAATCCCAACACTTGGGAGGCAGAGACAGGTGAATCTCTGTGAGTTCAAGGCCAGCCCAGTCTACATAGGGAGTTCCAGGATAAGTTCCAAAGCTACACAGAGATACCTTGTCTTGAAAAAACCAAAAAAAAAAAAAAAAAAAAAAGTATTGGTTCAGCAACTGATGAAAGTGTAAATTTGAGGCGATGCAGTGAAAGGTGTTCATGGGGTACATGTAACATTCTTGAGGCCTTGTGTTTGATCCTATGCACTCCATAACCAGTGGAGCCAGCCTATAATCCCAGCACTAGAAGGTGGAGGTGGGAAAAACAAATTCATGCTAGGCTAGATTGGGATCCTGAGACCACTGGGCTTAAAGACCCTGTCCCATAAATAATGAAACAAAACCTAACTTGATAAGAATTCCAAAGAAAATAGTTGGAAAGTGTTGACGTGATTTGTGGGTTAATTTTTTGTTTTTTGCTGTTTTTGTCAATAAATGTCCATTGCTTATGAAGAGTATATATGGAAATCTATTAGTCCATGAGGATTATTGAGCTTAAAAATGGGATCCCTTGCAAACAGTATCTGTGGTAATACAAAACACAGAAGAATCTGTTGTAGAACCTCAGAGGTGAGATCCATTATTATAGAAACCTTCATCTCTAGGCACCGAATTTAAATTCCAGAGCATTCTTCTCTCTCTTCATGTGGAGTATCTCTTTTATCTCTTGGGACAGAAGATTTGATGCAGTGGCAAGGTATGGGACATAGAGTGCTGGGAAGAAATGCCCAGGTGAATGAAAACTGCACCCTAGAGAAAGAAAGGGGTACATTTAATTTCTGAGAAATGAACGCTTTTGCTGAACGTGGTAGATTTAGGACACATGTTGGTTTCAGGTAGACAAACAAAAATTAGATCGTTCAGCAGTTCTTACCAAAAGTCAAAATACTTGTGTTTCCTGGTACCCTTTTCTCTGGGTGATGATTTTATGGTAGCAAGGGTGGGAGGAGAGCTCTAAGATGCTGTTTTTGACCACAGCTAGTTCATTACTGAAAATGCTTGGGATTCTTGAGTGGTCAGTCTTCAGCAGTACCCAGATCCTTTGTACAGACCACATCACACTGTACACACAAGGTCTATTACATCCGTCACAATATGGGCTATGAGCAAATTAGTCTGGCTGAGAATCAAGTTTCCTGATGCCTAATTTGCTCTCATGCAGACAGTGAGTTAGCAGCAGTTTCATGTCTGAACTACAACTGGATGCTGAGATGGGCCCCCAAGACCACAAGAGAACGGGTACCATGAGAAAGGACTGGAGGTACAATTCTGCTGGATGAAGAGGGGGAGAAATGCAGGATTTCTTCATTGACTAGACTCTTACTTCTTCAAAAGAGAAGATGCATGGAGAACGTTGGTGCCTCAGATTGCACTTTCATTTTTCTCTTCTTGTTTGCTTTATTTATTTATTTTTTCTTCTGTCCTTTGGTCTGGAGTTCTGGTGTAGGTCCTTATCCACTAGATGTGACATCATTATAAAATGGTGATAGAAGCTAAATTCTAAGAGTGGATCACTTTTCCTCCCTTTGCCTGCAGAAGGCAGGGCTGCCTTAGTTGCTGGACTCCTCCTTTGTGCTCGTGTTTTTTTTTTCAGATTGGAAAGGCGGGAGCAGAGAGCTGCAGTAAGGTTTCCTGGCTCCTCTGGGGCAACACTGCCCTCATGCGGAAACAGTTTCATAAATACCTGTGCACACACTGCTTCCTCAATACTGCTTGTCACCACTTTGAGGGTGAGGGTCCACAGGGATTCTTACAAAAGCCTGGCCTCCTACCATTTTTACCCGCTTTGTACAGGGACTGGAATCATGGGACCTTTCAGAGTCTTAGTGAACACCCATTTGATGGTAGGACTAGTACCAAGTACAGGACTACATATAACAGTCCAATTTAAATGCAAATTTATTGAATATTTAGTTTTATTTACAGGACAAAGATAAAATTCTGTGATCCATAGATCCATAGATCTAACTGGAACTTATAATCCTTTCAGTATTTGTTTCACTCCAAATACAATATAGCATTGTATCTTGAGACCTACATTACAGGCAGGTAGTCAACCTCCAGCTGGACACCCAGGTCCCTTAGCCTGGCTCACGATGTGGGTATGGTGCCTAGGGAAAATGTGAAGTGAATCTGGCAGAGAAGCGGGTCTCCTGGTTTCTAGATTTGATTGATAGGCAGCATTTTCTTCTTCTACCTAGAACTGAAACCTAAGATTTCACCTCAAGACCACAAGACAGTCATCCACCTGGAGTAAGCACTGGAAGTAGAATGCTGCTGGCAGAAGAAGAAACTGAAGGCTTGATCATTGACTGGCCAGTGACCTCTTCAAAATAGATGATGCCTGAGGAAGGTGGGTGGGTACCTCAGATCTCCCTGTCTTTCCTGCTGGCTTAGATCATAAATTCCATGTACTTTCCTTCTTCCATTTTTTGGAGTTTTGTCTTTTCTGTTTTGATGGTGGATTCTGATGAAGGTACAGATCCACTGGCTGTGGCATTGACATACAATTAAAATGGAAGCGAAACTAACTCTCAGTAAATCACTTTTCCTCCCTTTGCAGGAAGAAGGCAGGGCTGCCACAGTTGCTGGACTCTGCCTCTGCACTGTAGTTTTTTTCAGATTGGAAAGGCGGGAGCAGAGAGGCATGTGACTGGTGCCTTCTGTGCTGTGGGTCAACACTGCCATCATGCGGAAAATGTTTTGTATATCCTCGCTCATGCACACACTGCTTCTTCCTCAGTGCTGCTTTGAGCCGTTTTTGAAGGTGAGGGTTAGCGCAATTCATAAAGAGCAGAGCTTGGCCTCCTTCCATTTTCTCTTTGTGTTTTCTGTAGGTAGACTGGAATCATGGGACCCTTCAGAGTCTTAATGTAGACCCTGTTGACTGAGGGCCCAGTTAGTAGTGCAAGGCTGAGCTGAGGTTCAGGAAGAGGAAGTGGAGGGGCGGCGTTTTGCATTGATCAGTTTGCAATATGAATCAACTAGGTGGTGTACTAGGGTGGTAAGGCGCCTCACTCTCCGGGTTCTGATGAGAAATTTCTACAGTGCACGTTTATGTTGGGGCCTGAGGAGAAGTCAAGGAAGCCCAATTAGGAACCCACAGTTGTGGTTGTCTCAAATCGCCATCTTCTGCCATGGCTAAAAATCGTGGGAAGGAAGCTCTGTGGCGCTGTGACTTTTGAAACTCCATTCTCATGATGGCAGTAGAGCTCCAAGTAGGATCTTGCCAGTGCTTTCCTCCCGCCCCTCCTGTCTGAAAAAACGCCACTCAGAGACAAAGGCAACAAAGAAGATGGCTGCCCTGAGTTTTGCCTGCCTCTGAGTACTTTGAAAAGTGTTTGTGTATGTCTCGTTTTCTACATTTAGCCAAACTGAGACCTAAATTTAGCAGAGGTTTTAGGACTCTTTTCCTTCTGTTATGGAGGATATTTTCCATTTTGGTCGTTTTCATTTTGTCCAGCTACCTAGTATTATTTAAAATTTTGTTAATATTAATTTTTGTAATTTTTACACAAGGAAGATGTGCTATGAGATTTAGTAGCAAATAAATATGAAGTTACAAATGCAGGTCAATGGCTAGATCTAAGGGGTATAATGTTTGGGTTACATGCTCTAGGCCCTGAGTTTGATGTGCTCTTTTAGGGATGGGAAACTAACTCATTTGTAGGTTATGCAACTGGGAATTTCCCAATTTCTAATATTTTAAGAAATATCGTGGCAGTAAATTTTACTTTTAATATTATTGGGATGGAATTGTGGGTAAGAATTTATCAGACTAATGAAAGCTAATTATTTTGCTATAATAATTTTATTAATCACTTTTAATGAATGTTTTCTGTGTTTGTAAATTTATTCTGCAGGGAAAGGATTCACTGAAAACTAATGTATTTCAGTGATTTCATGTTGCCATTTGACATGAGATTCCACAATGTCTCAGAGAAAAATCAGCCTGTAAAACCCCATATCTAGTGATCTATAAAACACACTCATTGCATTCATGTATTATATCTTAATAAACCATATATACTCCTATAGCATAAATGAAAAAAATTGAACCATGAACAGGTTAAACATGGTATAATATTTTATATAGGATAGTCAGTGTCATGTATTTGTGTATTTCTGTAAAGACAAATACTGTGTCTTTTGGGTGGTAATTGTGCTTGCTTCCCAGCCTGAGTATATGAATTCCATACATGGAAATCTAATTGTAGAAGAGAACGGTTCCTGCTGCTTGTCCTCTGACATCTAGACATCGCTCAAACACATAAAATCAACACATACATGTACATTAATTTTTAAAGGCAAGTAGATATTAATGAGACTTACAGGTTAGTGTATATACACTTCAAAATGTTGCTACAATACACACTCAGTGTCATTCAAACTACGGCATACACATTATATAATCAGTATGGTATTTTCAGAGAACCTAAATATAAAAGCCATTGCATGTACATATAAAGGAACTGAAGCAAACCATCCAAAAGTTATCATTTGTCTAACAGGCTGTATGGATTACTGATAGTCAAGAAAAACTCTTTTCTAAACACACATGCATACACACAAGAAAGTTAAAGAAAGAAGTTGAAAAATGCTTCATAAGCTTCCTCTTGAAGCAGATGGGAATTAATATAGAGACCCACACCTGGCCAATGTGCATAGAGTGATAGACTTTGGAACACATAGTCCTAAATGCAATGTCTTCATCCAATCCCTCCCCTCACGGATCAGGGATCTATGCAGAAGAGGAGGCCGAAAGTGTGTAAGACCCAGAGGAAAGGCATGAGGCAAAGGAAACAGTGTCTTTTACACACAACAAGACTGACACATTCAAATTCACAGGGACTGTGGGTGACAACATGCACAGGGCCTATACAGGTTTAAGCTATACATGGTCCCAACACTGAGAGTGGAAAGTGGACACAAATGTCCACTCCAATCAAGAAGCTATCTTCAGTTGACACCCATTTGCAAAGGAAATTTTAGTTTTCTCCAATGGAGTCTTGGTGGGTTTATAAATCACACTTAAGGGTAGGCCTCATACCTAACAAGCAATCAATGGCCATGTCAAAACAAACTCAATGGAAATTTGGTAGATTTTTTTTTTTTTGTCTCATATTGCTTTCTTTGGGCATATTTTTAACTTTCTACTATTTTGCTTTCATGTTATAATTTCTGAGTTTCTCTTTTATGATTTGTGTGTATGTGATTCTTACATGCTTTGCCTTTTGTTCTGGTTTGTGCTTAGGATCTGGGAGGAAGTGGAGGTGGAAGTCTGGTGAAAATATATTGTACAAAAATTATTTTCAATTAAATAGAAAAGAAAAATATTTTATAGCAAAGAAATTCCATTACATAGGATGGGAGAAGTGTCTATTTCCTAGTGGAAATTATACCATGTGCAGGGACCACAATTTACAAAGTAGTTCCAAAAGTGTGAGCTACCTGCCTCTTCTTAGGGCTTTAGATAAGGAGTAGCCAGCAATTCAATAAGAGTAATAAAAATAGAGGCGCACTATGGGGTAGAATATGAGGACAGCCAGGTATGTAGTCAATTGGTTTCTCTTCATTTCACAGACAATCTGCCTAACTGGATAGAGTAGAGAGTTCAATGTGATTTGAAATGCTTGGTGATAAATAACCTGGAGGGTATGATTTAGCATATAAGAAAATAATAACCATGGAGGTGGTAGGTTGAGGCTACAGTTTGGTTTCACAGAGAACACTAGACCAAAAGCAAGGCACTTGTGAGCGTATCCCTTTCAGTTGGGCAAAATACAAGGCAAATTGTTTGTTGTTTTTTTTTTTTTCAAACAAGAAAGGCGGGGGTAAAATGTCTCAAAATGGCGCTTTCATAAGCATGTAGAACAACACTGCCACCATGAGGACACAGTGTCAACACAGCTGGCGCCATTCTAGCTTCCTGCCCTCTCAGAGTAAGGTCTATAAAAGGTATGGAGAAGCTGGTGATACATATTGGTCTTCTTTGAATTCCTCTAAGAACCTGTATGCTCATACACTGTAGGTATATTATAATTATAATTATAATTAATGGAACGGTTACTGTTAGAATACTCTTGTGCTGTTTTCCATCAGAATCTTTTAATTGGTCCCGAATGCATCAAAATGAAAAGTAGTAAATGCCTTAAGATTGCTTATTTTGATATGATCACCGAATCTCTATATTTTTTCTTTAAAAAGAACTTATTTTCTGAATCCATGTACAAAAAAATATTTTAAATAATCATTTCAACAGATAACGAAAGTGTAGGCCAGGCAGTGGTGGCACAGGCCTTTAATCTCAGGAAGATGTCTGTGAATTTTGAAGCCACCCTGGTCTACAGAACACATTTCAGGACAGCCAGAGCTACATAGAGAAACCCTGTCTGGGGTGGGGGTGGGGGATATAATCTTGAGGCCATGCAGTGGATGTAATTGTTAGAGAACTTGCTCTTATTCTTCCCGCCATGATGGTCCTGGGTTTACCCTTTGCAATCTTAAGCAAGCCTCCAGTTAAATGCTTCCTTCTGACTCTTCACAGCAACAGAACAGTAACTAAGAGACTGTTATTGATCTGATTGGAATTTATAGGCAGTACAATATATTTGTCACTCGAAATAGGATTATGATTATTCAGAATTGAGAATTACATATATTCCCTTTACAGGATGGTAGTCAACCTCCCACTGTATAATGAAGGCCTATTATGTCCATTGCGATATCATGTATAATGTCCAAGGAACAAGTGAATATGGCTGAGGATGCCTAGATTTGCTCTAAACCAGACACAGAGGTACCATATAGCGTTTGTATTCTTTCTAGATCTGGATCCTGAGACTACAAGACAATCAGATACCATGAGAAGGCACTAGAGGATATCTGTTGCTGGGTGAAGAAGGGCAGAAGTTCAGGATGTCATCATTGACTGGATGCTGACTTCATCAAAAGAGAAGAAGTCTGAGGGAGGTGGGTGCTTCAGATCTCACTTTTCATTCTCTTTCTTTTTGCATTATTTGGATTTTGATCTCATGTCTTTTCAGTCCCATCTCATTGAGATGCACTAGATTTAACAGTGAATAGGAACAGAAAGGAAACTAGGAGTGCATCACTCTTCCTCACTTTGAAGAAAGCTAAGCCTACCACCATTACTGCACTCTCCACCTGCTGTGAAGGGCGGGGCAGAGAGTCGAAGGCTTCATACTTTGTCTCCTCTAGAGCAACACTGCCATCATACAGACAGTATTTCATATATACCTGAACACAGGTCTCTTCCTCCATGCTGGCCTTACAAGTTTTGAGGAAGGCTGTGGTTGGGGAGTTATTAAATGTCCATGTTTGGAGTCCTAACCTTTTTTTCTTTTCCTTATACAAAATATTTCATACATACCTAGGCACAGACTGCTTTTATAATGCTGGTCTGGATATTTTGAAGAATGTGAGGGTCTGGGGGATTCTTAAATGTCCAAGCTTGGCCTCCCCCAACCCCCTTTTTATAGACAGTATGGAGTTATGAGCTATTGAAGAGTCTAAATGGAAACCCTGCTGACTTAGGGCCCAGGAACAGGAAGCAGAGGGGCAGAGTTTCACAGTGCTTAGCTTAGAATATCAATCCCAAGCCACAGAGTCTCACTCTAAATTCTAATGTGAAAACACTGTTGGGACCTGAGGAAAAGGTAAGGTTGCCCATGATTATAGTTATGTGTAATCTCCATCCGTAACTTCTGGTGTTTGGTCAACTCTGGGCACATCATTACTTAGGTTCTGATGAGAAAGCTCTACAGTCCATGTTTCTGTTAGGGCGTCAGGATAAGTCCAGAAAGGCAGGGTCACTATGTGCAGGCAGCTGTTGGTCCACTCTGGTCACCTCACTCTCCATGTTCTGACAAGAAATCACCCTACTGACTGAGAGACCAGTTAGTTACTAGAGCACAGCTGTGCTGAGGTCCAGGAACAGGAAGTGGAGGGGCGGGATTTTGCACTGTTCAGCTTGCAATATGAATTTCCTAGCTGGTGTCATAGGGCAGGAAGGTGCCTCACTCTCCAGGTTCTGATGAGATAGATCTATAGTCCTTGTTTCTGTTTGGGCCTGAGAAGACACAGAAAGCCCAAGCAAGCACCCACAGTTGTAGTTGTCAGGAATCGCCATCTTCCGCCATGGCAAGGAATCATGGGAAGGATGCTCAGTGGCGCTGTGACTTTTGAAACTCCATCCTCATGATGGCAGTAGAGGTCCAAGAGGGATCTTGTGAGTGATTGTCTCCCACCCTTCCTGTCTGAAAAAACGCAACCCAGAGAGGAATGCACCAAAGAAGATGGCTGCCCTGATTTTTGTCCAGCTTTCAGTATTTAGAAAGTATTTCACTTTTTGTCTCATTTTGTATGTGAAACCAATCTGAGGCCTAACTGTAGCCAATGTCATAGGACCCTTTTCCTTCTGTTTTAGAGGACATTTCCCTTTTTGTTCATTTTCACTCTGTCCAACTGCCTAATGTTATTTAAAATTCTGGAACATTTAATTTTTGTAAATTTTACACAATAAGTATGTGCTGTGAGATTTAGAAGGGGCCGGGTGGTGGTGGTGCAAGCCTTTAATCCCAGCACTCGGGAGCCAGTGGCAGGTGGATCTTTGTGAGTTCAAGACCAGCCTGGTCTACACAGTGAGATCCAGGAAAGGCGCAAAGCTACACAGAGAAACCCTGTCTTGAAAAAACAAAACAACAACAACAACAAAAAAAGAGATTTAGAAGGCAAGTAACATAAAGTTAACACATGAATGGCAATGGTTATGGCTAAGGGATATTTTCATTTTCTTTTCTTTAACTGATAATTTTTCAGCCATTCCAGATTTTTCTGTTCGAGACAGTTTCTCTATGTAGTTTTTGGTGCCTGTCCTACATCTCACTCTGTAGACCAGGCTAGCCTTGAACTCACAGAGATCCACCTGGCGCTCCCTCCTGAGTGCTGGGATTAAAGGTGTGCACCACAACCACCTTGCTCCATTCCAAATCTTAAGTTTTTCTTAAAAGTCTGGCAGTGTTTATTTGTCATAATTTTCACACAGTAAAGACATACTATCAGAGTTGTAATAAAGTTCTTTGATGTTGAGCATGCAGAGCAGTGGATTTTCAAGAGAAGTGGGACTCTTGTCCTCCCCAGGCTTCTAAGTCTCTTTGATCTTACAATTACAAGTAGCTGAGTTCTCTGTGTCAGTGAAGATGCTTTGTTCGGTTGCTGTGATGGGGAAATACTTAGAGCCTCTTGCTTGTTAGGCAAAGTGCTCCCATTGCACATGCCAGGATTTCAGTTTGTTTTTCAGATGTCTCAAGCCTTCCCAAGTATTAGACAGTGGGCCTGCTAGAGATCTTAGAGCAGGCTAGCCTGAAGTCCTGAGTTGGATCTCTAGGATGCAAACAGTGGAAGGAGTGACCTCAGTCCTGCACTTGTCCTCCGATCCACATTAGGATGTAGTGTTAGCCCCACCACCAAACACACAGGCACTCACACACACAGAAAAGAAATGTGTGAAGACAAACGGGCCATTAAAAAATAGACAAGGACCAGGACAGGAGGACTCTATCCTCCAGCTAGGAGAGGTGAGGAAGAAGATTGATTAGGCTGCTAGTCTGAGTGATGGTGTAGGCCATGCATCAGTTTTAGGTCGGTGTGGAAATTCTGGGAGAATCTTTCCATTAAAAGATAGAGGGCAGGAGAGAAAGAGAGAAGGGGGGGGGGCAAAGAAAATTATCACAACCACTGAAAAAAAGAAATATTGAAAACAAAGCAGAAAACTAGGAGTAAAGATCTCAGAAAATGTCTATGAAGATTTTTTTCACCCAGGTGAGTAAAAATTGAAAAAAGTATCTGTGAAAATTTTTTCTCTAAGGTCAGAATCCATGAAGGACTCAAGACTCATAGTGCAGTGACAGCAGAGGAAAGTCTGCTAACTCTTGTTTCAGGGCAGAGCAGTAGGACACAAGCACCCCAAGAATGCACTAGTGAGTGACTGTTCTGGTTCTGTCCAGGATGGAGGCCTGTCCAAATTTATGGTGTCTCCATGTGCAGGTAACTGTTGGTCCTCTCTGTGCACCTCATTATCTACCTTTGATGAGAAAGCACCCTATTGTTGGAGAGACCAGTGCACAGCTGTGCTGAGGTCCAGGAAGAGGAAGTGGAGGGGCGGGGTTTTGTGCTGCTCAACTTGCCATATGAATCCAGTAGCTAGTGTCCTAGGGCAGGAAGGTGCCTGACTCTCCAGGTTCTAATGAGAAATTTCTACAGACCTCGTTTATGCTGGGGCCTCAGGAGAAGTCAAGAAGCCCAAGAAGGCACCCACAGTTGCAGTTTCTGCAATCGCCATCTTCCCGCAATGGCCAGGAATCATGGGAAGGAAGCTCAGTGGTGCTGTGACTTTTGAAACTGCAACCTCATGATGGCAGTAGTGCTTCAGGAAGGCTCAGGAGAGTGCCTGTCTCCCGCCCTTCCTGTCTGAAAAAAACGCCACCCAGAGACAAAGGCCCAAAAGAAGATGGCTGCCTTGAATGCTGCCCAGCTGTTAGTACTTTGAAAAGTATTTGGACTTGGTTTTTTAGATGAAGCCAACCTGAGGACTAACTCTAGCAAAGGTCATGAAACTAGTCACCTTCTGTTATGTAGCATATTTACCAATTTCTTCTTTATAACTCTTGTTTTACTTTGTACAGGCACCTAGTGTTATTTAAATTATGGTACTATTTATTTCCTGTGATTTATATACAGTAAAGATGACTATGAGATTTCAATGTTAAGTACCATGAAGTTAACATATGCAGGGCAATGTTTATAGCTGATGGTTACAATGCTTGGGTTCTATGCCCTTGCTGGTAGCAGGGAGCCAATTCCTGTGTAGGCTATGCAACTGATAATTCCTAATTTCTGATATGTAAGAAATATCCAAGCCTGGCGGTGGTGGTGCACGCCTTTAATCCCAGCACTCGGGAGGCAGAGGCAGGCCGATCTCTGTGAGTTCGAGGCCAGCCTGGTCTCCAAAGCGATTTCCAGGAAAGGCGCAAAGCTACAGACAAAACCTGTCTCGAAAAAACCAAAAAAAAAAAAAAGAAAAGAAAGAAAATCAGCTTTGAGGGTCTGATTAGATGGCTCAGTGATTAAAGAGCACTTGTTGATCATATAGAGGACTCAGGATTAACACCCAGCACCCACATGGTGCCTCACATCCACCTGTAACTCCCATTCTCAAAAAAACCAAAAAAAAAAAAGAAAAGAAAGAAAATCAGCTTTGAGGGTCTGATTAGATGGCTCAGTGATTAAAGAGCACTTGTTGATCATATAGAGGACTCAGGATTAACACCCAGCACCCACATGGTGCCTCACATCCACCTGTAACTCCCATTCTCAAAAAAACCAAAAAAAAAAAAGAAAAGAAAGAAAATCAGCTTTGAGGGTCTGATTAGATGGCTCAGTGATTAAAGAGCACTTGTTGATCATATAGAGGACTCAGGATTAACACCCAGCACCCACATGGTGGCTCACATCCACCTGTAACTCCCATTCCATGGCATCAGATTCCCTCTTTTGACTTCTAGGAATAAAAACACTCATGTGGTTCACGTACATTCCTAGAGGTCAAGCATCGATACATGGAAATTTAAAGGTAATTCAGCATCCATTGGTTCTGCTTTTGTAGCTTAGTTAGTAGATTGCTTGCCTACTATATAGGAACGGCGGGGTTTCATCCCCAGCATATCACAAATGCCATTGTGCTATACTACCATCCCTCAGCCACCAATAGTATCAAGTCAGAGAATATCTAGGAATTATCCTTTAGAATGTCTAAGAATTATATGAAATTCTTGAGTTATAATAAATAAAGAAAAAATTTGAGCCTTGGATATACCCATTAATGAAAACTTTTATAAGGATATATATATCTTATAGATTATCTTAAGTACATCTTAAATATCTTATATTATAATAATTAAATACATCTTAAGTATCTTATACTACAATAATTAAATATATCTTAAGTATCTTATAATACATATACACATAATCTTTATGTACATGGAAAGTATGAAATACAGAGATTTATACTATCCACTGTCTTCACTTTGTACTTAATTACATTGAAAGAAAGCATTTACATTAAGTTATTTTCATGCATGTGTAGTTGTTTATAAACTATGTTAGTTGTCATATAGGATAGTTGGTGTCATGTATCTGTTTATCTTTGTAAAAACAGATACTGGGGCTGTGAAGATCGTGGAGGCACTTGCTCCCCAGTCTGAGTACATGAATCCTGTACCTGGAAATCCAATAGTAGAAGAAAAGAGCAGATTCCTGCAGTCTGTCCTCTGACAAGTACATGTGTTCATATGCAAAAAGTAAATAGATAAATGTATATCAACTTTCAACAGGGAAGGAGATACTAAATATTTGAATATAGTAAGGTGTGAAAAAACTCACTTCAAGTGTTGCTACAATAGACACCTGGTATTTTACAAACTACAGCACACACCTTAATTTGTAGGTCATGTTCAGAGAACCTTATAAAGAAGCAATATATTGCTATTTAAAACAATGAAAGATAACCATCCAAAACGATATCAGTTGTTTAACAGGCTGATGTTAAAGACAACTTAGTAATTCGTAAACACTGGGCAGGTCTGATAAGGGATAAACTAATGAGTGCACACACAAATACAAACACACACACACATACACACACACAGGCATAAGATGATAATAAAAAGAAGTTGAAAAAATACTTCATAGAAGGAATATGTTTTGTTGCTGTTTTCCATTTTAAATGGAGAACTGAAGAATGAATGAGGTCTCTATCTCCTAGTGGAAATTCATTCCATATGCAGGGACCTCAGGTTATAAAGTAGTGACTGATGTGAGCTGTCTCTGCCTCTTCTTAGATCTTTTGAAAAAGAGTTGCCAATATTCAACTCAGAGTATGAAATATGGTGATGGACTATAGCATGGCCTGTGAAGACAGCCTGGTAAAAGAGGAGGTGGTTATATGCTGACTGGTAGCTGCATCTGATCTTTCAGGACCCAAACTTCAGTCTTCATTTCAGACAAGATCCACCCATCTTGCAAAATCTAAGAATTCGATGAGCTTGAAATGCTCAGTGGAAGGAAATACACCCATATAGTACCAGGAGGGAGAAACTCAACTTCTGAGAAAAGACGCATAGTGGGTAATGGTGGGTTGAGGCCAAGGATTGCGTTCACATAGAACTAAAAATCCAGAGCACCAGTTCACATTAAAGTAATCTTGTCCCTTGGGCAAAATGCAAACAGCCATATTTCTTGGGGCCTTTGTCCTTGTTTGGCATTTTTTTCACACAGAAGGGTAGAAGAAGAACCCTCAGAGATGGTTTATGCACACCTAGGCAGGACTCTACTGCCCCCATGAATAAGTAGTTTCAATATTGACAGCACCATTCCAGGTTCCTGCCTATTCTTAGGGCAAGGCCTATCTGTACAGACCTGGAAGAGGTCCAGGACACATCTTGGGCTTCCTTGCTTTGCTCTAAGACCCTAAGAGAAACTGTATGCTAGTATTTTCCAGATGTTATAATTATTGAAGCAGTGACATGTCCTGATTGAATAGTCTGGTGTTGTTTTCTATACAAATATTATTCTTTGTCATGACTGCATCAAAAGAAACAGAAGTAGATATCTTGAGAACTAATGAGTGCTTATTTTAATGTGATCCTTTAATTTTAGTGTTGCCCTTTAACAAAAACTGCTTTGTTTTACACATCTGTGTACAAGTGTATTTTTTAAAAGAGGCAACAGATTTTTCCAAATAATGAAAGTGGAATCTTGAGGCTAGGTGTTGAAGCTAATGGGTAGAGTACTAGCCTAACAGGCATGAGACCTTTTGTTTGATCCTGGGCACTCCATCAACAGTGGAGGCAGCCTGCAGTCAGAGCACTAGAAGGTGCTGGCAGGAACATCTGAAGTTTCAGGTCATGCTAGGCTACATGGAAGGGGTGTAGGGGGTTAAGTTAGCCTGGGCTGAGAAACTCCCTTAAAATCAAAACTCCTTTTAAGGAAGGCGTCAAAGATAGTTTAATGGTATTGAAGAGTTCTCTTGCTGCTGTTTTTGACAGTAAGTGTTCACTGATACTGAAATGTATAAACGAAATCTATTAGCCTATGTTAAAGCCAACTGCAAGGATTATTATAATTGTAAATATTATCATATACTTTTGATCATTGTAAGGATTATTATGTAAGGAGTATTTCTAAGTCTTTAGAAAAAGTATCACTTGCAAACATATCTGTAGTAATAGAGAATACGGCAAGTACAGTTAGTACAGATTCCTTCCTCTAGCCCGTGAATTCAGAATTCTGAAAACATTCTTTTCCCTCTTTATGTGAAATGTCTCTCATGTTTTGACAGCGGCACAGTATGGAACATAACCTGCTGGGCAGAAATGCACAAATGAATTTTTAAAATCCATCTGGCTAAAGCACAGAACACATTGAATTTCTGGGAAATGAAACCTTTTGCTGAGGTGGATTGCCAGAACCCAGAAGGCTAAAACAAGGAGGGTCATGAGTTATATGTTGGACTTAGGCGGAGTATATACCATGGGGTAGGTTCCAGATAGGCCTGGATATACAGGGAGACGCTTTAAAAAATAAATAGGAAGAAAGAGAAAAGGAAAACAAAAATGTCTCACAGCAACCCCATCCAATGTGAAAATCATTAACAGAACCAAGAGTAAAAAAATCATTAAACGTCTGAAAACATTTGACCAAGGTCCATGCCCTTATCTCTTCTTGTTAGTTTTTTTTTTTTTTTTTTTTTAATTTTTTCGAGACAAGGTTTCTCTGTGTAACAGTCCTAGCTGTGCTGGAATTTGCTTTGTAGACCAGGCTGGCCTGGAACTCAGAGATCCTCCTGCCTCTGAGTCCCAAGTGCTGGGATTAAAGGTGTGTGCCACCACCACCAGGCCTTGCTTTATATTTTAGGCATGACACTGTTGTTTAGAAGGTTCCCCTTGCTCTGAGCCATCCTAAGCACTACAGGCTCTTATGCTTCCCATGGAACAGGACTGTACATATACTCCAACAGAAGCCTTGAAGGACTCAAGGGTCAGAGTGCAGTGATATAGATAAAGGAAAGCCTACTAACTTGTTTCAGGGGAGAGGAGCAGGACACAAGGGTCCCGAAGACTGAACTAATGTTCTCTTGTTCTGTCCGGGATGGAGGCCCATCCCCAGCATCGGCTCTTGCCATGTACAGGAAGCTGTTGCTCTTCTCTAGTCCAGTACTAATGAGAAAAGCACCCTATTGATTGAGAGACCAGTGCACAGGAACAGGAAGTGGAGGGGCGGTGTTTTGCACTGCTCCCCTTGCAATATGAATCTACTAGCTGGTGTCCTAGAGCAGGAAGGCACCTCCCTCTCCAGGTTTTCATGAGAAAATTCCACAGACCTCATTTCTGTTGCAGCCCGAGGAGAAGTCACGGAAGCCCAAGAAGGCACCCACAGTTGATCTAGTTTCTGCAATCGCCATCTTCCGCCATGGCTAAGAATCATGGGAAGAAAGCTCAGTGGCGCTGTGACTTTTGAAACTGCAACCTCATGATGGCAGTAGAGCTCTAGGAGGCATCTTGTGAGTGCTTTTCTCCCGCCCTTCCTGTCTGAAAAAAATGCCACTCAAAGACAAAGGCCCCACAAAAGATGGCTGCCCTTAGTTTTGTCCACTTTGTGTACTACAGTGTTTTGCATCCTTTTGACCACATTTTGAGTTAGCACACAACATAGAACTGTTTTCCTTTTCTTATGGAGGATGTTTCTCATTTCCTTGATTTTTACCCTTTCTAGTACTGTCTTCTTAAAATTTTGGTCCCATTAATTTGTTGTAGGTTTTATGTGATAAAATTATAATGGGAGATTTATAATTCAAGGATTATGTTAACCCATGCAGTACAAGGGAAATAGCTGAGAGGTTCATTGCTTGTATAGCATGCCCAAGTCCCCTGAGTTTTAATTACTAATACTGGGGGTGGGGGTGCTAATGCCTAGTTTATGCTACTGGGAATTTCCCAATTCTTAATGCTGTGAGAAACTTTTATGTAAGTAAATCTTACTTATGAGGATGGAATTGTAACAAAAGAATTAATATTAATGATGAGCTCTATTGACAGGGTTTGTTGTGCCACAGGCCTGGCAGTGGTGACAAATGTGTTTAATCCCAGTACTGGGGAGGTACAACATAAAAATGAGCTCTCTTCATTTCACTGTCAGTATTTTATTAATCATTTTAATGAATGTTTTGTGTGTATGAATCTATTATTATTATTATTATTATTATTATTATTATTATTATTATTATTATTTTGAGGCAGGATTACTCTGTGTAACAGTCCTAGCTGTCCTGGAACTCACTTTGTAGACCAGGCTAGCTTCAAACTCACAGAGCACAGAGATCCACCTGTCTCTGTCTCCCAAGTGCTGGGATTAAATTCCCAGTGCAATTTTTAGGGTGACTTATGTCTACTATCTGGTTGGAATTTATAGGCCTGTCAGTATTTGTTTCACTCCAAATACAATGGAGCATTGTATCTTGAGACCTTCATGACAGGCAAGTAGTCAACCTCCAGCTGGACACCCAGGTCCCTTAGCCTGGCTCACGATGTGGGTATGGTGCCTAGGGAAAATGTGAAGTGCATCTGGCAGAGAAGCAGGTCTCCTGGTTTCTAGATTTGATTGATAGGCAGCATTTTCTTCTTCTACCTAGAACTGAAACCTAAGATTTCACCTCAAGACCACAAGACAGTCATCCACCTGGAGTAAGCACTGGAAGTAGAATGCTGCTGGCAGAAGAAGAAACTGAAGGCTTGCTCATTGACTGGCCAGTGACCTCTTCAAAATAGATGATGCCTGAGGAAGGTGGGTGGGTACCTCAGATCTCCCTGTCTTTCCTGCTGGCTTAGATCTAATAAATTCCATGTACTTTCCTTCTTCCATTATTTGGAGTTTTGTCTTTTCTGTTTTGATGGTGGATTCTGATGAAGGTACAGATCCACTGGCTGTGGCATTGACATACAATTAAAATGGAAGCGAAACTAACTCTCAGTAAATCACTTTTCCTCCCTTTGCAGGAAGAAGGCAGGGCTGCCACAGTTGCTGGACTCTGCCTCTGCACTGTAGTTTTTTTCAGATTGGAAAGGCGGGAGCAGAGAGGCATGTGACTGGTGCCTTCTGTGCTGTGGGTCAACACTGCCATCATGCGGAAAATGTTTTGTATATCCTCGCTCATGCACACACTGCTTCTTCCTCAGTGCTGCTTTGAGCCGTTTTTGAAGGTGAGTGTTAGCGCAATTCATAAATAGCAGAGCTTGGCCTCCTTCCATTTTCTCTTTGTGTTTTCTGTAGGTAGACTGGAATCATGGGACCCTTCAGAGTCTTAATGCAGATCCTGTTGACTGAGGGCCCAGTTAGTAGTGCAAGGCTGAGCTGAGGTCCAGGAAGAGGAAGTGGAGGGGCGGGGTTTTGCATTGCTCAGCTTGCAGTATGAATCAACTAGGTGGTGTCCTAGGGTGGTAAGGCGCCCACTCTCCAGATTCTTGTGAGAAAACTCTACAGTCAGTGTTTCTTTTTTGGACTGAGATTTCAATGAAGCCTAAGTAGGCACCCACAGTTGTTTGGAATCGCCATCTTCCTCCATGGCTAAGAATCATGGGAAGGAAGCTCTGTGGCGCTGTGACTTTTGAAACTCCATCCTCATGATGGCAGTAAAGGTCCAAGAGGAAGCTTGTGAGTTCTTGTCTCCCGCCCCTCCTGTCTGAAAAAAACCGCCACCCAGGGACAAAGGCCCCAAAGATGGCTGCCCTGAGTTTTGCTTACCTTTGAGTACTTTGAAAAGTGTTTGTGTGTGTGTGTCTTATTTTCCACAATTGGCCAAAGTAAGGCTTAAATTTAGCGGAGGACACAGGACTCTTTTTTAGTCTATTATAGACTATATTTCCATTTCCTTCGTTTTCACTTTGTCCAGCTGCCTAGTGTTATTTCAAATTTGGTACTCTTATTTTCTTGTAATTTTGAGAGACTAAAGATGTCCTCTGAGATTTAGGAGAGTACTAGAAGTTAACACATGCAGGCCAATGGCTACTGCTACACTTGTGTTGTATGCCCTAGGCCCTGCCTGGTTTTGAGCCGCAATTCTGGCTTCCCTCAGTGTTTCCCATGTTGGAATAGTTTCAGTTGTATTTTATTTTTGTCTTTCAATGTGAAGCCAATCTAAGGCCTAACTGTAGCCAATGTCTTGGGACTCTTTTCCTTTTGTGAATGTAGACTCTTTCCCATTTCCTTATTTTTAACTGTTTATTTTCATTCCTTTTAGCTACTTAATGGTGTCCTTAAAAGTCTTGTAATATTTATTTGCTTTAATTTTCACATAATGAAGATCCTTAGGAGGTTTAGAAACAAAGTTTACCCACACAGGGCAATGGGTATTGCTAAGGTATTACAATCCTTGCCTAACATTACCTAGAGCCTGGGTTTATTCCCCATGACTGGAATGGTTAGTCTTTCTCATATATAGTTTATGCCATAGGGAATTTCATAGTCCCAATATTGTGAAAAATATCCATGGCAGTAAATCTTACCTATAATATTGTTAGGATGCAATTGTAGAAATGAATTAATGGTATTAATGGGTCTTTCTCCTCCCTCCATCTTATTCCCCCCTTCCTTCTTCCTCTCCCTTTTTTCTTTGTCACTCAACTCCACTCCCTCTCTTTCTTTTCCTCTCAGTGTGTATACCTCAAGGCAAAATTGTAGTATTACATTGACTAGCCTATATTTTGTTTGAAAGTAGTTAGCTCTAATGAACAATCCTGTATCTTATACATGTAAGAGGAGCTGCTAATGGTGCTTGCTTTGGGTAATGATATTTACATTAGTTTCCATTTGTTCTTCATAGATGTGAATACTGCAAAGATAATTCCAGAAGCTGGCTCTCGATGCTTCTATTGACTCATGCCTGTAATCCCAGCACTCACAAGGCTGGAGGAGGATGATAGCTGTGAGGCTGAGGATAGTTTGGCCTCCATACACAGTGAGTTCTATGATGATTTTTAAAATATTCCTTTTTTTCTTTTTCTTTTCTTTTCTTTTTTTTTTTTTCCGTCTTTTGAGACAGGGTATCTCTATGCAACATTCCTAGATGTCCTGGAACTCACTTTGTAGACCTGGCTGGCCTTGATGTCACTGAGATCTGCTTGCCTCTGCCTCCCAAGTGTGGGGAATAAATGAGTACACCACCACTGGGCTTTAAAATACTCTTAATTGGAGAATGTATCTTGAATAAAACATGCTAAAAAGTATTCCTTCAAAATGTTTTACTGACCTTATGGAACTAAGCAATCTGTATTTAATTAATTGAACATAAGGTACTTATTTTAAAATACACAATAATTGGTTTATTGTTTATTTATTGATTTACATTTCTGTAATAAGTGTTAAGAAAATTTTGAAATGAGTCTAGAAGAGTAACTCAGATTAATTAAATGTATTAATTAAATGCATTAATTTACAGATACTATATATAATACATATATACTGTAATACAATAATCACATCATATTATGTTAATTTTAAATAGCATGTCTACTTAGTTTAATAGTCAGGTGACTTGAATGAGAGAATGTCAAGTAGTATTTGTGTTTCTTGGGTATCCTCCAGTCCCACATCTTTCATGAACATAACCAGAACATATTCCATGGTCCTTTTCTTTACCATTTTCTCCTTCTAAGGTAGACCCTTGTTTATTTGGCATTTTTGTCCCTTTTCTTGAATTAGTTACCTTCCCTGGACACTGCTACTTTTGCTTACCAGAAATCAGTTGCTTATATTAATTCATAAAACCCTCTAATAAACATATTTGTGACATTGAATAATTTTATTGTAAATTTTTCCTGGATGTTTTCTCTATGTATGAATCTATTCTGGAGGCTAAGAGAATTCACAGAAAAATAAGATATTCAGTAATTTGATATTGCTTTCATACATCAGAGTCTAAGAACTGGCCAATATTAATAATTTTCAGAACTCTGGCCATTCAGAGGCCTGCATCTAATAATCTGTACCACAAACTCATATATTGCATCATGTATTAAAGAGTAATAAATAGTATATGCACCTATTGTAAGGTTTTGGTCCTTATTTACGTCTTTTAATTACGTCATCAGCCTTCGCCGGCTTCCCAGCCTAAAAAGCGGTTGGGCCCTCTGTGGGCTCTCTCTCTGTCCCCTCTACCCTTTGCGCTCCTTCCCCCCGTCGGTCCTCCTCTCTCCCTCTCCCCCGCTTCTCTCTCTCTCTCTCTCTCTTTCTTTCTGTCTTTCTCTGTCTCCCCCCCCCCCCCCCCAAATAAAGCTCTAAAAAGGTAACCATGGCTAAGATTCTTTCAATCAGCACGCTCCTCCGCGGGCACGCTCCTCCGCGGGCATGGCCGCCGCGGGCGGTGACCAGCCACGAGGGGCAGCTCGGCGGCATAACCAACATTGGTGCCATTCAGACTCGAATACACCACCGCACACCGAGGACCTGCTGACTGCTGCTGCTTGCCGCCTCTTCCCCCATCCAGCGAGACAGCGAGACCGCGAGTGCACGCGCGTCCCTCGCCGCCTCCGCTGGACCCCCACACCGCCACCGCCATGATTCTTCACCACAGTAAGTCCGCCGTTCTCGCGCGGTTGTAGTCTGAGCTATATTATTTGCGACGGACACCCCGGGGGTTGTCCTCGAGCTGCACCAGCACCGGCACATTTCCGTTTCTGACGAGAAAGTAAATGCTGTCTTGGTCTACCGGGTGGATCAACTGTGGCGCAGCTCCAGCCCTTCACATCCCTTGACGAAGAGGATGGTGAACTTGAGCTGATTCATGGATCTCTCTCCACTCTTTGGGGATGCCCAAGATTGTAGTCTGATCCCGGTTTATTATTTTAATTTTTTATTTTTTTTCTCTCGGCTACACCCATGCGACAAAAGGGTGGATATTTTGGTGGATAGGGGCGGGCACTAGCAAACCTGGTCTCATAACAGTGTAAATCTGGCCGCATAACTGAGTCGCGGGAACTTCTGCCAGAGAACGGGCAAATAAGAGTCACTTTATCTCCAAGCTTTCTGCTAAAGTTCTGAAACCCTGCTCCTTCCCCACTTCTGCATCTCCACGTGCAACCTTTTCTGTCTAACTTCTGCAGGCGGTGGGCGGGCTCAAGTGGGCGGGCTTGGGCGGCTTCTAGGACTCACCCTAACTCACCTTAACTCCACCCACTCGTTCTCAAACTGCCTTGAGAAGCACAGACGGGTCTAAAAGCGGCTAAGATCCATACAAATAAGTTTACAGTAGTCAGGATGGCTCTTAAGCCAAAAAAACAGCTTATAGTCTCAGACAAGTCTTCCAAAAAGGATCGGTTTATAGTCTGCCTACTGGCAGATCTTCCAAAAGCTGTCCTTAAGCCATCAATCAGCAGGAAAAAAAAAAATTCAGGACATAGAGTAAAATTCGTCTCTTGTTCCCCAGACCTCCCCGACTAAAACTTAAGCATCTGGAGAGCAAGGCTCCTGACCCCACAGGCAAAAGAGTCATCTGTGGCATTTAAGGTGTGCCAGGGAAGAAATAAAAGCCCGAAAACAAAATTGCCAAGTGCTGGCACTTGCTGACTCCCAAAAGCTGTTGGGTCCCTGTTTTAAGTGAGAAAAAGGCCACGGGCTAGAGAATGCCCTGCCAGGCCATCGACAGCCTTGTTAAAAGTGCCACCTAGAAAGACAGAGTCAGCTGACTGCCCCCAGGCACCAAGATGCATGGGTACATCAAGCTAAGACCTTCAGCAGACCTAGGCTTGGCTACAGACATGGCAGGGAACCCAGAACGCAGCAGGGAAGCGATCTGTTTCTTTCCTTCTGGACACCAAAGCCACTGACTCAGTCCTGGGAGTTTTGGGATGCCACCTCTCCTTTATTGTTGGGTACAGAGGACAGCCTTACCACCTCACCTGATTTAATTGCACTTTCAGAGTTACTTAATAAAAAAAGATTTCCACCTAAAATAAGAGCTCATTGCTTCATTCCAGATCCACTGCCTGTGTTTCTCATGTGCATACAGACAGGGCCCTGGTCTTTGCCTTGTCCCTAATTCCAAAAAAAAAAAAAAATTTCTCATGTACCACAAGCTTTTCTCTTCCCAGTTTCCTGTTCTAACTCACTGTTCAGCTAATGGTACAGGACCACCACAGAACCGGAGACCAGAGATCATCAAATAAAAAACTGTAACAGCTAAAAGGCATTTACACCCCTAGACCCAAAAGCGTCTGGGCGCTACAAAAAGACTTTAATGTAAACATCTATTACTATGAGATGCTTTTAACAATTGATCACCTGTCTCCTAAATGCTGAACCAGTAAAGGAAACAGGTACTTTAAAATAATCTGTCTCTGATAAAGCTTAACATGTTTCAAAATCCATAGGGACAGGCCGGATCTACCTCAGATAAATGTCAACATAAAATAATAATGATTCTTTTCTCTCTCTAAGTTTTTTCTGTGTCACCAGCATCTTGTCAAACAGAAAGTTCCCAGCCACAGCCAAGAGGGATACATGTCTCCAGAGCAAACGGATGACAGACAGCATCCCACAACGCCTGTCTACCTCGGAAGACTCCCCTTCTCCATTCCCCCAAGAGCCAACCAACGTCCAAAAGTCAGCTGGAAGCAGTTTTTGAGAGGAACGACGCCCCTAGTCCCATCTACCTGCTTTTTTATAATAAGGGAAAGTCTGGGATGTAAGGTTTTGGTCCTTATTTACGTCTTTTAATTACGTCATCAGCCTTCGCCGGCTTCCCAGCCTAAAAAGCGGTTGGGCCCTCTGTGGGCTCTCTCTCTGTCCCCTCTCCTTTGCGCTCCTTACCCCCGTTGGTCCCCCTCTCCCCCCCCCCCGTCTCTCTCTCTTTCTCTCTCTCCCTCTCTCTGTCTTTCTCTGTCTCTCCCCCCCCCCCCCAAATAAAGCTCTAAAAAGGTAACCATGGCTAAGATTCTTTCAATCAGCACGCTCCTCCGCGGGCACGCTCCTCCGCGGGCATGGCCGCCGCGGGCGGTGACCAGCCACGAGGGGCAGCTCGGCGGCATAACCAACACCTATAACTTCCACTTGAGTTTGGCTGAAAAACTTTATAGCATGTATAATTAAGTTGTGAACTTTTTAAATATGATATGTATTCACTGACTTTGCTGTAGTATTGGGCTTTGATGGCTTTGTATTTTATTCTTTCCAGGCATAGCTCATGGTGTGTCAGTGTGTCCTAAATTAGCTGTGAATCTGTTATGTTGTCCCTTCTGGTCAGCAACCTCTGATTGTCAACCCTGAACATTTGTACTGGTGGGAATCACAGGTAAGTGCCTCCATGCACAGCTCTAAATATAAAATTTTATGGTAAGAATTCAGGACAAGAACATGAGAAAAAAGACTCCAGAGTTGGCTCAGCAGTTAAGAGAATTTCCTGTTCTTCCAAAAGCACCTGAGTTTGGTTTGGGCAACCAAGTCAATATACTAATAGCTACAAGATAACTATAGCTACAGGGCTCTGACCCACCCTTTTGGCCTCTATGGATAAATGCACACACATAGTATATATTCATATGCACACAGAGATAAATATAAAATATAAACAAACCATTTTAATGAGAATAAAAACCTGGCTGTACAATGCAGGCTTTCCAAACTTATGACTTTGTCTAATACTGTCCAGCAATCTTAAACTAAAGTATCAGTTAAAAAAAAACCTTTCTCTTGTGTACCCTTCGCTCATGGCTGGAGGTTCTTTTACTAAATGTATCTCCCTCCCTTGATGTCCATCCTGAAATCGACATTACAACTGTTACAATTAACTCAAACTTTGCATTTGAAAAGGTTTGGTTTAAATGCATATTTATTTATGTATATTTCGTTGTCTACAGTGAACTCTGAGTAGGCACTGGGATAGATATAGTAAAGTTGTAAAACTTCATCAGGATGCAATACAAAGTTTAATGCCAGTGCTTTCCTCTTGGTTAGCTCCTAAGTGCTTTCTGAATCCTATGTGTGAAAAATATCTTAAGTATTAATGAGGGAAAAAAATAACACTGAGACTCAACTGAAAAAAAAGAACTAAGAACAAGGCGTAGATACTGAAACCTTGGAAAACAGCCCTTGGCTGTGGAATGTTATGTCAACACTTGTGTTTCAATGTTACATGAGAAAAGCACAAGATAAAAATACAATCTAGTGACCTATCCTTTTGGAATTTAAAGTCATTTTCATACCTGTATCACTCCAAATAGGATTATGGACATTCAGTCTTGAGAGCACAGAGATCCTCCTTACAGGCTGGTAGTCAACCTCCTGCTGTTGGATACACAGGCCTATTGTCTATATCAGTATCTGGAGTATGATGCCCTAGGAACCTGTGAAGTGGATCTGGTAAGGAACCAGATTTGCTGTTCTCTGTCATTGACGTATCGGCATTTGCTTTTCTCTTCTATGCCTGGATCCTGAAATTAGCTCTCAAGAGCACAGGCCAACTGGGTATGATGAGAAAGCACTGGAGGTAGAATGTTGCTGTATGAAGAAGGGGCAAATGCAACACCTGACCATGTGGACCTTGAGATCTAGAAAGAAGAGCTACCTGCTAAGGGTAGGCACTTTACATCTCACTTTCTCTTCTGTTTCTGTGATGCCAGCCTGGCCCTTTTCAACTTGATCTGCCCTTGATATCAAATGGGAATGCAAAGCTGAATTCCAAGACTGGAGCTGATTTTTCTCAGGTTGGAGGAAAAAGATGCGTAAAGTTGTACAAATCTGGCTCCCCCACTCCCACAGATTTGATGGGTGGGAACAGAGTGCCTGGAATCAAGGCTTTGCACTCTCTTGGGACAACACTGCTATCTTTCAGATACCTCATAAATTTCTGTGCAGGCCCTAGGAGATTTTTCAAAGGCAGGGCCTGGTGGCAGATCAAATGGATCCAAATCCAAACTAGGTCTCTGACCTTAGGGGCATGGTGCCATCATGTACCATAGCAGTGTCTTAGTGTACAGCCTAGTGATTGACAGGGGAAGTGCACAGTTGCCGCGAATTCAGGAACAGGAAGTCAAGGTGGTGCTTCAGTATTGCTAGCCTAGAGTATTAGTCTAGTAGCTGATTTTACAAGAAAGGGAGATTTGGAATTCAGTAAGTCTTGGTCATTTAAGCCGGGTAGAATTAAGCACTATTTGGTTTGGCCACTGTGGCCCGATGGCTAGGTAAGGTTCAAGAGTCCAATCCACTTTGGCTAGATGAAAAGATTCGCATATCAGATAGGGGCTCCTAAATGGGGTGTTGTTCGAGAAGATTCCCCTGATGTGCTGGAGGCAGCTGTGGAGGTGTGGCCGATTTCTCGGGTCTAGAGCAAAGGTGGCTTTGTGCGAAGAGGGATTGTTTGTGTTTACAGTGCTAGGAATGACATGGGGGCCTCTGCTGTTTAGGTCAAGGTGTCACATCTGGGCATGCAGCAGTATAAGAGGAGGTTTGGTAGTTTTACTCTGATGTCATGACTCCCAAGTGTAGCACGAATCTTAAAAGTCTTATTAATAAGAACAAACCTGGAGCCAGGTATTGGGGTGAATGCTGGAAGATCAGAGAAGCAGAACAAGCCACAGCTACCTCACCTCGCCAATTCCTCAGCTGATCCTGTTTCTTCAGACTGGAAGCCTCCGAGTCCTCGTCCAAATGGATCTCAGCTGAACTGATGCCCAAAAGACTAAACGCTTAACAGACTATACCCAAGGGAACAGTCCACTAGGCTTGCTCATCACCAACCTACTATGAAACAGATAAGAAAACTGTGGAGAATAATATGATTTTTGTCTCAGGCATCAAGAACTTCAGCCATCTATAAGTCTGGTATGGTAGTATATGCTTGTATTCCTTGTACTCCATAACCTGACGCGGGAATATCATGAGCTCCAGGGCAGTCTGTACATTGTTCAGTTTGAGGGTAATATGAGCTACATTCACAGATCCTATGTCAAAGACAAAAGCAAATTTAAGAAGCTGATGAGAAATAGACAATGAATAAAAATTGGATAAAAAGGTAATTCAATATTTGAGATAAAGAATTCCATGTCTGTTCCTTGTATGGCTCCTTTTAAAGTAAATATTTGGTTTTAGCATGTTTCCTTTGATTGAGAGACAGAGCAAAAATTCTGCAAGATGGTCTGTAACTTGAATTTCTAAAGGTATTTTAATAAAAAACCTGGAGCCAGATATTGCTATAAAAGCTGAAAGATCAGAGAAGCAAAGCAAGCCACAGCCACCTACTCTTACCTCACCAACTCCTCAGCCTGAAAAACCTCAGCTAATAGGCTTGTAGCCGAATGAGCTTCCTCAGCCGAAAAGGCTTTAGTTCCTGTCTCCTCACGACTTATATATCTTTCTCTACTCAGGCATCACTTCCCTCCTAGTGCTGGGATTAATGGTGTGTGTCTCCCAAATATTGAGATTAAAGGTGTGAAATCTCAAGTACTAAGATTAGAGTTGTGTGCCATCACTGCCTGGCTCAGTTTCTCTCCTAGACTGAGTCAATCTCATGTAATCCAGGGTGGCTTTGAACTCACAAAGATCCAGACAGATCACTACCTCCCTAATCGTCTCTGCTAGGATTAAAGGTGTGTGCCACCACTGTCTGGCCTCTATGTTTAATCTAGTGGCTTGTTCTATTCCCTGATCTTCAGTCAAATTTTATTAGGGTACACAATATATCATCACAATGGTCCAGTAAGTAAAAGTGTTTGCATGCAAGCCTGAGAATTTATGTTCCATCTCCTGGAGCTCTTTGAAGGAGATAACCAACTTCTACAAATTGTCTGTTGACCTTTGGAAGTACACTGCAGTGGTACACGCACACACATACATTTATATTAAATAAAGTTGTTTTGTCTTAAACTCACTTTAAAACATCCCCGCCCAAGATACTCTAAGGACATAAGCACCCCAGGGCCACCAAATAGCACAGTGACACTAACTGTAAACCTGCCAAGGTACAGTGACATGAGACAATGTCTCCTTGAGCAGCCATTTGAGGTTTTTCTCTAGGCTTGTCCTAGCTGGGTTGAACTGAGGTTCTATTCTACAACGTGTGCTTCCTGTGTTGGTGTGCGGGCCTATCCTGGCTGCCGCTAGTCCACCTCACTCTCTGGGTTCTACGCTAATGGAGGATTAGGGTCCAGTTCTCTCTTCAGGCCTTAGGAGAAAAGGAAGGCCCAATCCTCTTCCAGAGCCCTAAAGGCCACACTGCCACACTGCTAGAACTCAAGGGAAGCACCTTATCTGTTGAAACTATGTCTTCATGGGGGCAGTCATGACCTAAAAGGAACCATTGTGTTGCCCTCCTCTCCTGCCTGTCCAGTCTGAAAAAAAAAAAAATCACTCTTCATGAATAAAGGAGCCAGGAAGTAAACATGCCTTCCATTTTGTCTGGACTCAGAACCAGTTTAAAAGGCAGCCATTTTGTTTTTGTTTTACCATCTCAAGTCTATAACTACACTCCATCAGCACTCTTGTCCTTTCCCTAGGTAAATTTCCTTTGGACTTCACAATGGTAATTTGTAAGTAAGTAAAGTAAGTAAGTTGCTATTGTGCCATCAGATCTACTTAATGGGGTAACTTGGATGAAGGCAGAAAGAAGGAATTGCTTGAAGCCTGGGAAACATTTTCTCTAGCAAATAATTTAACAGATTTGGGCATGATGTTATTTAATGCAAGTTAGTTCGTTATCTATTAACCTGCCACATTTCTATTTTCTAAATACTATGAACTTCTGACTGGAAAGTCATTCTCTCATAAAGCCATTTGGAAAGACATTCATCCATACAAAAGCATTACTAAAACTTCAGACAGAACCACTGAGTATCCACTTTTCTAAAGCAATGTTTTATGGTATATTAAATTTTACCTTTACTTGTGGTAGAGGTCTAAAGTGTTGACAAACAAATTTAGGAGTCTTCATATTCACTGTCTATGTGAAGGCAATACAGACTCCATTTTAAGGAAGGGCCACCACCTAAGACCACCTGCTGTACTCAGTTCCAGGAAGGCCTCACTCAGGAATGTACCATGACAAATTGAACAGATATAGGACATTCTGTCTGCAGTTTATGGCCCTTGAAGATATGAGACAATCCTGATAAACAGCCCAGATAATCCTGCTCAGCAAATTCTGGTTCCCTGCCAAAAGTCCAACCCAGTAGTTTCAAAATCACCTTGCCCCATATCCCCTCTACCCAATCCCAAATTGCCAAAGCATGTAATTTCTGGCTTGTGGTTTTTCCCTATAAAAACTCTAACCCTGGGCCCGCTACCACTGCTGTGATTTTCTAGAGATGTCCCCAGGGCTCAAGCACTTTCCTTCTACTTTTTCCTTCACTTACTGGATAAGTACCACTGAGTTAATCAGGCCTGAATGCACACAGTCCAGAGAGAATTTATTGAGGCAAAAGATGAGGATTCTGATGAGGGGTGGTTTTCACTTTTCGGCTTGAATTGGGAAAAACAAAAGTAAAATGGCTGCCTTGTAAGCTAGATCCCTAACACTGAACAAAATGGATGCCAGGCATTTCTCACTTTTTTTTTTCAGACCAAATGGGCGGGAGAAGAGAATGTAAGATGGCGCTGCTGAGCTTATCTAGAGCACTACTGCCCCCAAGTGGAATTAGTTTTAGCAAACGTGGCACCATCACGGTTTCTTTCCCATAAACCCCAGCAAGGAAGAGGACTGGCTGACAAATGGAAGCTCATTGTCTCCAAGGCACCAAGATACCAGAAAGTGGGTATATCCTAGAAGCTGGCGTAAGTCCTCAAAGAACCTGAACATCCAGAGACCCGAACTGATCCACCAATGGCTTGGAATACTGAAAGTGTGTTCTATCCAGTTTGGACTTGGAAACAGGAAACAACTCAGACAAAGGCTAACTCTCCCCAGTCAAGATGACTGGCGGGTTAGAGAGTGAGACTAGGTGTCAAAGAACTTAGGACAGTCTTGGGTAGGGTATGGCGGCATAGGAAAGATGTGGGGGCGGGGCTGTGAGTTTACTGCTCTTGCCTGGAAGGTAGCAGAACTTCACGTGCCATCACTGTACTACCATTGTACAATACCTGGTAGAGCGGATTGCTGCAGTGTAAGACCAGCAGGGACAAGCCAGTTCCTGGTGGCACAGTGTGGCTGGGAAGGGCCTAAGGTGTTTTATTGTCTGAAGGCTTGGAGGACCCAAAACACAAGAAGCAAGAGCAAAGAATTATGCTTCCTTCTAGGAGAACAAACACAAGTGGGAGACAGAGAGAGTAGATTCAGTGTGATCCCTAAAATCCCAATGAACATTTTTTACAGAAATAGAATAGCTAAACTTCATGTGGAATTTGAAGATGAGTAGTTGATACAATATTGATTTTCATATAAGACACAGAGTGGCAAGCCCCATACCTTTTACATTATCATCTCTTAACTGTCTTCTCAAGTAAAATACAGAAGTCCATATATTCCAAATATGTTACTATGTCCACAGTTAAGGTGATGCCAAAGAGGATAAAGTTATAGCTTTATGATGTCCGTCACTGCTGAAGATAGTCTGTTTGAATGTATTTCTGAGCTACACGGGTGACTGAATTTGAAATGCCAGTTTTAAACATTTGTTGAGTTGTTGTGAAAGGACTAAGCAGATGCCATAACAGGCTGCTCAGTCTTCTCTCATTGATCAGGCCTCAATTTCAGTTTCCTGAGACTTGAGCAAGCAGTTTCTGGGAGGGCCATGAACAAAAGACTGCTCAAAGTTCAGCCGGATGTTTACTGTCTGGGGCCCCTCACCAACTTAGAGTTATGTGCAGTACGTGCTTGGCCAGCCAGCCCCCATGGTGGCTCAAGGACAAAGCCTGGGACTTGTGCTGGACTGCCCCCAAAGTAATAAGTTGTAACCACCAACCAGTAAATTCAAAGGTTACATACCCTCACCCAATTAAAAGAGAGCAGAGATAAAAATAAACCAATCCGAATTGCACCCGTGCAAAACTCCCCAAACCCCTCTGAAGGACTTGTGGATTTTGCCTTTAAAAAGCTAGCCACACAAAGAAAAAGCAAGTTCCTCCTGGCCTCACTACAAGCGAATGCTTTGGATCGAGCTTCCCTGCCTGCGGCTTGTAAACAAACAGAAATAAACCATGCTATTGCATTCTGTATCTAAGGTGTCTGGTGGAATCTTTGGGGTCACAATCTGGGCATAACAGTTGTTTTAATGTTTTTTGGAGATACAGTTTGCTTTTTCTATTTGGAGTACTCACACTTTGTAGTCCAGCTTTCACCGTCTTGAACCTACTTCTGATGTATCCACCAACCTATTTTAAAGTTGTCTTGATTTATGACTTTCCTTGTTCTGTAAAACTATAAAAATCCTGTGACAGTGCTTCCATGTTGGAACATGGAATTTGGGGTAACCTAAGTCTGTGTTTCTGGGCCATGATCACTCAGAATGGCTCCAGAATAAATTATCTCTTATCCCCTTTTAGATGAGAGCTGTGGTTTTTATATCAACATATGAATGCTTTATTTTCTACAGTCTAGACCTTGACATTATTTAAGTGTCAAAAAGTGCCCAGAAACTAGAACTTTTTAGAGGTCAAATGCAATGTAATTAAGTTTAAAAAAAAAAAAAAAGTAAAGTCAGCCTGATCCTTGGGTACAAAAGGACTAGTGCCTAGTTCAGAATATAGAGACCACTTGGAAGGGAATCTGGATGAGAACCATGCTGTGTTCTCTAATCCTGATGTTTAAGCATTTTCTCTTCTTTCCTAGGTCTGGATCCCCTAGGTTTGCCCCAAGAACCACCAGAAAGTTTGATACCATATAGAAGGCTGGTGGGTAAAGAGCGGCAGAAACCAGAAGACTTGGCTATGTGGACACAGACTTCTTCAAAATGACATGTATCTGATCATAGATGACAGTGGGTACCTCAGGCGGGTCTTACTTCTTTTCCTTTGTTTCTCCATAGTTCTGGTGCTGGGATAAAGTTCCAGCCTTTCCTAATGTCTCTGCTATTGATAGCAAATGGAATCCAAAAGGTAAATTCTTAGATAAGCTCACTCTTTTTCAGATCGAGGAAAAAAGATTCGCCTTTGGGATCTTTTTTTCAGATTGGAAGGGCGGGGGTAGAGTCAACTCCTTGATGCTTATGGACAAATACTGCCATCTTGCGGACGAGTTTCACAAACCCCCACCAATACATAATTTCTTCCATGCAAGTCCCTAGGAAAGCTGTGCCTATGGGAGGTTGAAGAGTCCCAGATTCCACTAACCATTACAATATTTTCCTCTGTGGGTAGCTTGGAGCCATGCACTAGTGTACTCTAGATGCGTAACCTAGAGACAAAGGGACTGGAACCAAGTGCAGTCGCCCTGAGGTACAGGAAGAAGAAGTGGAGGGGCAGAGCTAAGATTAAAAAAATTATTTATTGTATTTATTAATTTTTATTATTTTTAATGATGTGTACATTTCTGTGAGGGTAAGTACCTACCACCCCTCTTGGTTGTTAGGAATCAACTCAGGCCCCGGACAGGAGCAGTACATAAAACTGAGGAATTCCTCTAGCCCCAAGCCTGGAGTCTCGATTAAAAAATTGTCTTAGCAAGCTCATCATGACCATTACATTTCCATTGGGAATGACTGGCTGATTTACCATGACAGAAGCAGCCACAAGGAATACCAAACTCCAAAAGCAGTGATGTCAAGAGAAAGCTTGCATGTTGCTTCAAGGGAACTGAGTAGTAGACAAAGACCACCAGGAACGTGCATTTATCTCTAGGAGGGGCTCTTTGGTCTTCCCAAACTTGAAGATCCCAGTTGGTGGTCCTAATGCCTTCCTGTATCAGTATTTTTGTCCAAGGTTCATCTTTCCAGGCTGCTCCTAGCTTCAGGGTCTAGACTGCAGCATCATTAGTGTCTATCCTCTCCTAACTCCTTTGGAAATGACATGTTGGCCAGCTTGGAGCCTAGTCACCTTCTAAGACCTTTAAGGCCAGTCATTCCCTTTTGAATGAGCTCCATGGAAAAGAACTTGGTGTTTTAAAAGCATTGCCTCATGTGTAAGTATATATCTACACCATCCCTTCCTGTCTGAAAAAACTTGACCAAGAAAAGGAAGCCAGAACATATAGTTACAGTTCATTTTGGCCTTGTTGATGTGATTTAAAGCCCAGAGAGCAGCTTTGTTTTCTGTTTTTGTTTTGAGAGACAAGATCTAGCTGTGTATCCCTGAGGAGCATTTCCTCAGCCTCAGGCTTGGGCTAGTTTGTCAGTGTTTTCAAACATCTCTAGCAAAAACCTCACAAATCCAAATGTTCCTTTTTATTACTGTTTGATACCAATATTCTTCTTTCAGCCTCTCCTGTCAAACCCTGTTTACCTATGAAGAATTTTCCCACACATCTGAATCTACAAGAAGCACAGTTCTTGTTCAACTCTCCAGACAATTGGGCGCACGCACCTGAGACCATCCCAAACACTCCTTCTCATGCTGTATGACTTCCAGAACTGATCCGTGCTTGCTATTTCTACACCACTGCAATAACATAGCCCCTCTGGCTTAGCACAGAGATGTTAGTTAAAATCCTGCTAAGTCATGCTTCAAGGGGCTGGAGCTGGAAAGAAGTGCCCATGTGAGCCTGAATTTGTCTTTCCATGGGTTTTTGTTATCTTAAAATTGAGAGGAACCAATGCCCCTTTTTGGGCTCTGTACAATCATTTTCCACACCAAGGTATAACTGGCATCCATGCCTCTCTTAGGACATTAAGGAGAAGGCATGGGGGGCCCAATGTTAAATTTTTCAACTGGAGGCACACTGATTGTGGGGACAGACTTTCATGTTGTTGTTCACTCCAGAGTCTTCCAGGGAGGATCTCAATTTAGACAAGGCTAGAGAACAAATACTTGCATTGTTGTGACCCTTCCTTGATCATGGTGTGGGCTTCCATACCCCTATATAAGTTTTAAAGACACCAGAGAGTGAGCCTTCAAAACCAAGTGTTCTCTATCATTCTGAAGGGAAAAATATTTTCTGTCTCTTGTCAATCACCATTCACAAAGCACAACTCAAGAGATGGTTAAGACTCATCAGACAAATCTGTACCAGTTACGAGGACAGGGGATTTGAGTTCAGTCTGTCATCAATGAACCCCTTTTGTCCATCATACACCATTGCATTCCTTCTCGGATGCTTAGAAAAAGCAAGCATTTTACAGGGGAACAAGTATCTTTTCTGTATACACTGTATTGTTGTATTATCATGCGCTGCTTAAGCTCACTGAGAAGCTGGGTCTGGAGGTGGGACTTGGCCTTTCTACTTGAGACCCAAGCATGTTTGTCTGAAAGTATGCTTCTAAACCTCCTATCCTGGGTTAGTCTAGACACGTGGTTCAGGGAAAAGGAGAGCAACAAAACAGGCCAAGAGTAAAGGGACTGTACCCTTAGGAACAGCTCAGAGTCAATTTATTTCCAATACATCTCCAATAGAAACAGAGGTTTCTTTTGTTTATTCTCTAACAGAAGATGTCTGTAATGAACACAGGTAATAGGTAACACCAGCATCACAGTTTTAACAGGCCTACTTCAGCTGATTTCTTAAGGATGTTCTAAACATTGATTTGATGATGGTTTGTTATCTACCTGTATGGTACCCACACTCATAGCAAACCAAAGTCACAGGTATGGTAAAGCATTCTCTGGACCATACAGAATATAAAGAGACCTTTGTCTTGTGTTTTCTATGAGGTTTGCCTGGGAATTTACAAAGCCTCATTGTCAACAATGTATACAGGTAATCTTAATTTATCACATTATGCAATGCATATAGCTTGGATTAAACCATCATTTAATAAGATGTTACTGTGATATAAGGAAAGAAATAAAAGGGAACTAATAAGTAGAAGAGATAATGAAATATTAAAAGGATATGGAAACTTTGTCCTTAGTTAAGATCACTGGATGTTTCCAAACTGGAAAAGATAAAAAGACAGTGGAAAGCCTGAAGAAATCACAAAAGGTCTGAGTAGGTTATAGAAAGTATGGGAAAGATGAGGGATAGTGATGATACATGTAAGATTAAAATTTCTAATGTCCAATGTCCTGTTTAGATCAATAGCATTCTCTTACGTTGAAGATATGCGTTTGGTAACCTTCACAAGGACTGACATAAACCATCAAAATAGTCTACGCAAGACTTATTTAAAAGTGTTTGACTTTTGCCAAACTTTATTTAATGTTACACAAAAGTTAAAAAATACCAGACTGGTGTAACTGACCTGGGTTTTAAATAACCATACTTAGAAGCCTATACTAATGTGAATAGAGGGATTAAATGGGACTGCATTTTGGACCTTGCCTTCAAAGGTCCTACAACTCTGGCAAGTCACTGTCTTCCTGATCAGAGAAGCTATGGAGACTGCACAGGGTGGACTCTAGCCAGGGGACAACAGCATTTGTACATTTTATGAACAGAAGAGTTGATACAAAGAGAATGGCCTCAATGCTTCAAAAGAATGTTGTCAGCAATGCCTTGTGACTTATGTGCAACATAGCACAACTAATAAATGAAAGAAAAAGGACAAAGAAGGGCCCTCCTCCCAATCACAAATGACCCCTGAGGACCAGACACTCAACTGGCTTTGACAGTAAAAGAAAGTTATTTTAGGCCACCTGCATGGTCTTAAAGTAGTAGGAAAGTATAATCAAAGGTTAAAAATTATATATACATATAATAACTTAAAAATTATACACATAAATTTTAACCTTTGATTATATATATAAATAATTATGTATAGGATATATATGGATCATATTCACCAGACATTACTTAGGTCTATGTGAGGTATTTGTTATAAACCATTTCTGACTAATTTTTTTTTCTTGATAAGGAAAATACTGCATAGACACAGGACTTCAAACTTTAGGTCAATTTCAGCACTGCAGCACCTACATGGGAACCTACAGTTGAGAGAGACAGACCCACTGTTCTAACCTAAAAATCATACACTAGTTAAATATCTTCTGCTCTAGAAGCCAGCTGAGGGGGACCTCACACTAGGATTTTAGCCTTTCCAACAGCTATCAAAGTACCTGAAAGCAGATCCTGGGTTCATCACTCTCAAGGCAAGCCTTGGAGAATGGGAGTGGGGGGAAAGACCTGAGGAGCCCAAAGGATGGGTGTTCTTGCAAGCCTATGGAGGCTTTATAATGGACATTGACTTGAACATTTTTATTTTTAGACAGGCTTTTTTTGTTCTGGCTTCTAGTGTTCTGCCTGGGGCTTATAATGCTGAGCTGTTATAAAAATTCATGCCTGCTTCTAGTGGGAAAGAATCATTCCCCTGCTCAGAGATCTGCAATTTTCCTTCTCCTTTTTTAAAGTTAAATTTATTTTACATTTTATGTGTATGGGTGTTTTGTCTGTGTGTCTTTTGTCTTCTGCAGAAACCAGAAGAGGGTATCAGATCCCATGAGACTGGAGTTATAGACAGTTATAAACTGCCATGTGGGTGCTGGGAATCAAATCCCCTGCAAGAGCAGCCAGTGTTAACCACTAAGCCATCTCTCCAAACCCCCCAAACTCTTTTGCCTTTAATTCTTGTCTCCCAGCTTCAGTGGAGGACTTCCTCACTATACCTGGCTACTATACAAATGAATTCATTGATACACTTTTGAGGTCTCTTACTTATATAGACCCACCAACCACAACACCCAAAGCCCCCAAAATGATGTCAAAATTCTTTAACCCTCAACTAGTTATCTCCTAGAAAGGGAATGGTGAGACCAGGAGATAGGAGTTGGCTAGGTAATTTAGAGGCAAGAACATTGAAAGGACAGTTCCAGGAATGTCTGGCTCCCCAGCAAAAACGTTCTGTTATCTCCTACATGAGCGCCTTTGCCTGGAGGATATATGAGACGACAAGACAGTAATCCCTTGAGGCGAACAGCTTTAGAATTGGATCTCTAGATTTTTATGGCAAAAATAGGTCGCATCAATTTCCCAATTTTGGTCCATCTCTTAAATGATATTAGGATTACCTCTTCAGAATGAATGATGTTACATTCATTACTCAATGTATGCGCATTGATCTGGCTGGACTTGTCAGTTGCCTGATAGAGGGCAGCACTCAGGAAGGTTGATTCATCAAAAACTCCAATAAAGAGGAGAGGAATGCTTGCCCCTTAATTGAGATAGTGTGCTTTTCCTTCCTAGAAAGCCCACCCTTGGTGTGGTAGCTTTTGGACCCACATCTATGCTATGCAGCTTGGCCAAGGTCTCCTGCTTGACTCAGAAGGACAATTCTCACTTTTTCTTCTCTCACCCTCCCCTGTACATGGCTATTTGTCCATCACATGGATTCTATAAACAGCACAACATGGTTTTCTCCCTTTTCATCTTCCTTCTTTGGGCAGCTGAGAGATTTACACCTTGACCATCCTGGGGAATTTCTTTTAAATTGATAAAATTGTCCCTAATTCAATTGTCCTTCAGAGCCTTAAGAGGGGACTCAAGTTTCCCATAACAGAAAGACACCCACAGGAACAATCCAAAAAGGGAACAGTTTTTTTTTTAAGTGACTCATTTTATTTGTGTGTATGTGCATGTTCACCCAGGATAGAAGAGTGCATTAGTTTCCCTTGAGCTGGAGTTACGGGGTCTGGGAGCCTCCTAACATGGGTGCTGGGAACCTAACTGTCTGTTCCAAGAGCAGCAAACGTATTCAGTCTACATTATGAGTTCTTTTGGAAGGGTTTTTGGTGCTGCTTTTCTTCATGATTAGTGCACTGATGTCCTGGATAGTTTTATGTCAACTTGACACTAGCTAAAGTCATCTGAGAGGAGGGAAGGAAAACTGAGAAAAATGTCTGAGGTCATAGGCAAGCGCCTAGCCCACTGTGTGGTGCCACCTCTAGGCTGGTGCTCCTGGGTTCTATAAGACAGCAGACTGAGAAAGTCATGAAGAGCAAGAAAGTAAGCAGCACCCCTCCATGGTCTCTGCATTGGCTCCTGCCTCCAGGATCCTGCCCTGACTTTTTTTTTTTCTGCCCTGACTTCTTTCATGGATGGAGTATGATATGGAAGTGTAAGCCAAATAAAATAAACCCTTTCCCCCATCTTGCTTTTGGTCATAGTGTTTCATCACAGCAATAAAAACTCTAAGACACTGACATGTTCTGAATCCTAAACCAACACTATTCTTTGATGTGCTATTGAAAATGTGTCTAGTACCATACCAAAGAGATAAATCACACACAAGTAAATACACAGAGCCTATGATATTGCAGGAAATAGTGAAGACTATTTCACGCCATTTGAGAATGTTCTCATGTTAAACAATGAACAAATGAGACAAACCTTGAGTGGCCTGTGTAGAAATTCTGACAGCTGTGTCGCTGTTCTCTCCAAACAGTTTAATACAGATCTAGGAGAGGGGAACCCTGCTTGTTAGGGAGGAGCTGCCAGGTCAGAGACCACATGGAGGCAGAGGCCTCTAATCCCAGCATTTGGGATGCTGAAATGGGAGTTGGAGGCAGGCATGGGAAACAAAATCAGTCTAGCTTGATGGCAGATGTTTATGATCCCAATTTTTGAGCTGGCATGAGAATCGAAGGAGGCTATTAGAGGGGGAGGGGCATTCAAAAGGATGGAGAGGAGCCAACAAAAAACTGAAAAGGCCATAAGGAAACATAATACTGTCTATACTAATTGGAAAAGTTTACACTGGGGCAGGCAAGATGGTATGGCTGTTAAAGCACTTGCCGTGCAAGGCTGACCATCTGATTTGAGAACCGGACCCACACAAGGGTGGAAGGGGAGAACTAACTCTGGAAAATAGTCTTCTGACCGCACAAATGCCGTGCTCTGTGCACAGACACCCACATCTTCCTCACACCATCCTAATAAGTACAATTTAAAATGTTAAAAATAAAACGTGAATTCAGAAAAGAGGGGTCTTTGGATTACATGGTGATCTTCAGGCTTCAAGCAACTGCTTCCTTTTCCAGTCTTCACTGAATGTGTCCTATGAATGAAGTTAACTATTAATGGAAAACAAATGGACAGACTAAAAGAGTGGAGAGTCATACTTGAATGCAAAGTCCCCTATAAATTTCACTTCCAGGAAGAAAAGACCTAACTTATGGATTAAGGCCTTGGTTTCATCCAGGGGTGGGGGTGGGGGCTAAAAATGAAATAATGTTGAACTCATAGTTACTGGACAAAACTTAAAGCAGCCATATCCCCTGGTGCCTTTGTCTCTGTGTGGCACTCACCCCCGCCCCCCACCACAGATATGAAAGGCTAGAGAGAAGCGATCACAATGCACACATTTCTGGAACACTACTGCTATCATGAAGAAAGAACTTCCAAACTCCTGGCACTATTAGGCTTCTTTCCCATGATTCCTAGCAACAGCAGAGGAATGACTGGACCTTCTTATGTGAGCTTTTTTGACTTCTAAGGCCCTAGGATAGACACGGACTGTTGTGCTTTCTTGCTTCAGACCTAGTGAGGTAGGTATCTAGAGTGGACGGGCTGTCGTTGGGACACAGAGGCACAGGACATTGTATGGCGGGGGCCCAAGGTGAACAAGTGCAGAGGAACCCTGATAACACTAGTGCAGGTGCTCTGGGGCCCTTGTTTCCTGTTCCAGTCCCTTGGCACACAGAATAGAGGGCTTCGGTTTGATTGACAGTATGCTAAGCACTTTACTCCACTCCTGTCTTCTGAGTGCAATGCACAGGCTGCTGCAGAAGAAACAGTACATTTGCTAGCGCTGGAATGAACAACCCTCACATGAAGCAGTCCGTTGAGAACACAGAACTAAAGCAGACCACAGCCACAAGGAGAGAGGGCATAGAGCTTGCTCCTCACCTTTCCACAGGAAATTAAAAAAAAATTCAATTCATTGCTTTGGTTTTATTTGGGGTATGTGTGTGTGTGTGTCAGGAGGTTGTTTTGATATTATGTGTATGTATGTGGCACGTGCAGGTGAGTGCAAGTGCCCACAGAAGGCAGAAGAGGACATTGGATCCTCTGGAGCTGAGGTTACAGGCAGTTGTGAGTTGCTGTATATGGGTGCCGAGAACTGAGCTCAGGTTCAGGTCCTCTGAAAGAGCGTTCTGAATGGCTCTCCAGTCCCCCTCCCAACTCTGAGCTCTCCTTTCCTTTGCACCTGCTAGCAGCTAGATACTCCAGGAAGGTTAGTACCATCACCACTATCCTTCCATTTCCTGCCCCTGAAGTGAGGAGAGCTGTGCATTTGGTCTGGCCCCTTGGTCACTAGGCTTAAAAGACACTGCAATGGTACTTGCCTCGTCTGTCGACAGAGAGAAGAGTTGGCAGGCCAGGCTTGGTTGTGGGCCTATTTGACCCCATCCAGACCCTTCCTTCCCCTAAGGTGTTAGAGCTAGCAGGAAGAAAAACTCTGGGCCGAGGAAATAATAATAACAATGTTATAATTATATAATAATACTGTTATTATTATCTCATACATTACATCCCGACTACAGTTTCCCCTTCCTCCACTCCTTTCAGTTCCTTCCCCCACATCCCTTTCCTCCATATCTACTTCTACCCCTCCATTTCCCTTCAGAAAAGAGCAGGTCTCCCAGGGATATCAACTGAACAAGTTACAGTAAGACTAGACACAAGGAATTTATGAAACTATCTCTGCACAATGGCGGGGTTCTAAGAAAAGCCAAGGAGTTTTGTGAGCAGGCTCTGTGTTCCCACCTTTCCAATTTGAACAAAACAAAACTGCCATTGGTGGTTACGCAGACACCAGTAACTGGCTACCTTGTCTTTTTTTTTTTTTTTTTGGTTTTTTCGAGACAGGGTTTCTCTGTGTAGCTTTGCGCCTTTCCTGGAACTCGCTTTGGAGACCGGGCTGGCCTCGAACTCACAGAGATCCGCCTGGCTCTGCCTCCCGAGTGCTGGGATTAAAGGCGTGCGCCACCACCGCCCGGCTTTACCTTGTCTTTTTGCTTCCACTCTTAGACTTTAGCTTTTGGTTTCTGGTTGATAGTAATGGCAGATGTCCTGGGCAAGGGCCAGCATTGGAATTCTGGCACCAAAGGAAACAAAACAAAACAAAACAAAAAAACGAAAAGCAAGAGAACTTTAAAGCACTCACCTTAGTCAGGTACCTTACTCTTAAGGAACACAATAACCTTATGGCCAAGTCTTCCATTTGCCCCCTTCTTCAGCCAGCAGCATTCTCTCCAGAGCTTTCTCATGATACCTCATTGCTTTTCTGAATACAGGCCTAGAAAGGTAAAGAAAATGCTGACACCTCAGGGCCCAAAGAACAGTGAATCATACCAGCGACTTGATTCTCATCCAGATTCAGTTTGCTAGTACCTTAGGCATCCTTTTCTGTATCTGACCTTGACACTAGGCCTTGTATGACTGGAGGGAAGCTGACTTCCAAGGTAACACTCTGAAAGCTACATAACGCCCTACTTTGACTGGCACATGCATTGGGGAAAGCACACGATTTTTTTTCCTTTTTTTTTTTTTATTAAGAGATTTTCCATTCATTTTACATATCAACCACAGATTCCCCTGTCCTCCCTCCTCCCACCCCTCAGCCCTCCCCCTCAACCCACCCTCCACTCCCACCCTCTCCAAGGCAAGGTCTCCTACGGGGAGTCAGCACAGCCTGGTACATTCAGTTGAGGCAGGTCCAAGCCCTGCACCAAGGCTGCGTAAAGTATCCCACCATAGGCAATGGGCTCCAAAAAGCCAGCTCATGCACTAGGGACAGGTCCCGATCCCCCTGCCTGGGGGTCCCCTAAACAGTTCAAGCCAAACAACTGTCTCCCTTATCCAGAGGTCCTAATCCAGTACCACAGGGGCTCCTCCACCACTGGTCCACAGTTCATGCACTTCTACTAGTTTGGCTAGTTGCCTCTGCACTCCTTCCAATCATGGTCTTGATATCTTGTGCTAAGAGAATCCCTCCTCCCACTCATCGACTGGAACCCTGGCGCTCTGCCTGGGACCCGGCTGTGGATCTCTGCATCTGCTTCCATCAGTCACTAGATGAGGGTTCTATGATGTCAGCTATGGCATTCAGCCATCTGATCACCAGAGTAGGTCAGCTCAGGCACCCTCTTGACCACTGCGAGTAGTCTATGGTGGAGTCATCTTTGTGGATTCCTGGGGACCTCCCCAATACCCTGTCTATCCCTATTCCCATTGTGCCTTCACTCATCACGGTATCTCCTTCCGTGCTCTCCCACTCTGCTCCTGATCCAGCTAGAACCTCCCGCTACCCTAAGCTCTCATTCCCCTGTCCCTTACCCTCCATTACCCTCCCTCACCCTCAGCTTGCTCATGTAGATCCCATCCACCCCTCCCTCACTGGACAATCTCTGTGTCCTCCCAGGGTCTTCCCTACCAGCCAGTCTCGCTGGAGCTGTGGGTTGCAGTCTGGTTATTGCTCGCTCCACATCTAGTAGTCACTTATGAGTGAGTACATACTATGTTTGTTTTTCTGAGTCTGGGTTACTTCACTCAGGATATTTTCTAGTTCCATCCATTTGCCTGCAAACCTTATGATGTTATTTTTTTCTCTGCTGAGTAGTATTCCATTGTGTATATGTACCACATTTTCTTTATCCATTCTTTAATTGAGGGGTATCAAGGTTTCCAGGTTCTGGCTATTACAAATAGTGTTGCTGTGAACACAGTCGAGCATGTGTCCTTGTGGTATGATTGAGCATTCCTTGGGTATATGCCCAAGAGTGGTATAGCTAGGTCTTGAGGAAGATTGATTCCCAATTTTCTGAGAAACCACCATACTGATTTCCAAAGTGGCTGTACAAGTTTGCATTCCCACCAACAGTGTGGGAGTGTTCCCCTTGCTCCATATCCTCTCCAGCATAAGCTGTCTTCAGTGTTTTTCATTTTAGCCATTCTGACAGGTGTAAGATGGTATCTCAGAGTCACTTTGATTTGCATTTCCCTGATAACTAAGGATGTTGAGCAATTCTATAAATGTCTTTCAGCCACTTGAGATTGTTCTGTTGAAAAATCTCTGTTTAGATCTGTATCCTATTTTTTAATTGGACTGTTAGGTATTTTAATGTCTAGTTTCTTAAGTTATTTATATATTCTGGATATCAGACCTCTGTCAGATGTGGGGTTGGTGAAGATCTTTTCCCATTATGTAGGCTCTCTTTTTGTCTTATTGACTATGTCTTTGCCCTACAAAAGCTTTTCAGTTTCAAGAGGTCCCATTTATTAATTGTTGCTCTCAGTGTCTGTGCTACTGGTGTTACATTTAGGAAGTGGTCTCCAGTACCAATCCATTGAAGACTACTTCCTAATTTCTCTTCTATCAGATTCAGAGTAATTGGATTTATGTTGAGGTCTTTGATTCACTTGGACTTAACTTTTGTGCATGGTGACAGATATGGATCTATTTGCAGTTTTCTACATGTTGATATCCAGTTATGCCAGCACAATTTGTTGAAAATACTTTCTTTTCCATTGTACAGTTTGGGCTTCCTTGTCAAAAATTAGGTGTTCATACCTGTGCGGATTAATGTCAGGGTCTTCAGTTCGATTCCATTGGTCCACATGTTGGTTTTTATGCCAGTACCAAGCTGTTTTTATTACTGTAGCTCTATAGTAGAGGTTGAAGTCAGGGATGGTGATGCCTCCAGAGGTTGTTTTGTTATACAAGATTCGTTTAGCTATCCTGGGTTTTTTGTTTTTCCATATGAAGTTGAGTGTTGGTCTTTCCAGATCTGTGAAGAATTGTGTTGGGATTTTGATGGGGATTGCATTGAATCCATAGATTGCTTTTGGTAAGACTGCCATTTTTACTATGTTAATCCTACCTATCCATTGGCATGGGAAATCTTTCCATTTTCTGATATCTTCTTCAATTTCTTTCTTCAGAGAATTAAAGTTCTTATCATACAGGTCCTTTACTTGCTTAGTTAATAGTTATCCCAAGGTATTTTATATTATTTGTGGGTAATATAAAGGGTAATGTTTCTCTAATTACTTTCTTAGTCCATATGTCATTTGCATCTAGGAGGACTACTAATTTTTTTAGTTAATCTTGTACCCTTCCACATTGCTGTAGGAGTTTATCAGCTGTAGGAGTTCCCTGGTGAAATTTTTGGGGTCACTTATGTATACTATCATGTCATCTGCATATAGTGAAATTTTGATTTCTTCCTTTCCAATTTGTATCCCATTGATCTCCTTTTGTTGTCTTATCGTCTAGCTAAAACTTCAAGTACTGGGGCTGGAGAGATGGCTCTGAGGTTAAGAGCACTGGCTGCTCTTCCAGAGGTCCTGAGTTCAATTCCCAGCAACCACATGGTGGTTCACAACCATCTGTAATGAGATCTGGTACCCTCTTCTGGCCTGCAGGCATACATGCAGACAGAACACTGAATATATAATAAATAAATAAATAAATAAATAAATAAATAAAAAACTTTAAGTACTATATTAAATAAATGTGGGGAGAGCACACAGGTTTGTCTTGTTCCTCATTTTAGAGGAATTGCCTTCCGTTTCTCTCCATTTAATTTGATGTTGGTTGTCAGCATGCTATACATTGCCTTCATTATGTTTCAGTATGTTCCTAGTATTTCTGATCTCTCTAGGACCATTATCATGAAGAAAACAAACACAACCAAATGAGTCTACTCCACTAGAAGACATAACCTACTCCAGAGCTTTGGATGTACTTGAGACTCCAAACACACGTGCATTTATACCTTGTGACTCTTGGAACCGACCTGTCCTACTGGTTCACGGTTGCAACGAGGGTTTCTTAGATGCAACGACATTACATAAAGACCTTGTAACTCTTGCTGCAAGGGGCAGGAGAAGGAGACAAGAATTCTCAGGAACTTTGCACTTATCTGGGTATTTCCCCCAGATCATGCTCACAATGGGTGCCAGGCAGGACTTTCAGTGCTCTTCTCTCCCAGCCCGCCAAGGTGCACTCTAAGTTCTTCTTAAGGTAGTACTCTAGGACAGAATCGAATATTTAGACCAAAATGTGGCTAAAGACATTCCAAACACAAACCAGGGGGCCTTGAGAGGTGAGAATGATCCTCAAAGACATACAGACCTCTAACAATCTCTGCTGTAACACCAGGCGTGCTGTCTCAGATATGTAGGATTGGCCTTCTCTCATGGGAATATCCCAAGATGCCTAGGAAGCCGTATGGCAGGAAAGTGTAGCCATAAGGCACACCGACTAATCGCAAAACTGTCGCACTGCGAGCAAAGATCGAGGTCTGTGAAAGTAAATACGACTCACATAGTACATGGACTAGTCCAAAGCATCTACATGTAGGGACTCAAAGAAATGAAAATGATTCTGGTTCGTTCATTTACTGTGGGAGTTTCTCCGCGGGATTTTTTTCTGGTTCTTATGAGCTAGCCGGTGAGGGTCCCCTCTAAGTCCTTCGCTCTTCAGGTGGTGGTAATCTATAGACTAGAAATCAATTTCCAGATTCTTAGGGTCTGGGTCTTTGGAAAATGCAAGGAGGCCCAACTGGGAGCTTCTTACAATTCTCTCCCTGCCTTGTTTTACCCACCTCAGGGCTCATGAGAAGGACATATCAATGGGACAAAAGGAACAGAACAAATCTCCTCATGATGGCAGTAGAGGTCCTGCTACAACCACCACAACATGGCACCCGCCCTTCGTGTCTGAAAAAAAAAAAAACAAGAGAGGGGAAAAAAAAAAGTAGAACACAGAAGTGCCAGGAACCATTTTTGCCTCCATTCTATGTAGCTTGCTGAGACCAACTCACAGCTTAGCATTTTTTCCCTCTTGGTCTTTAAAAAATGAAATTCTTCCTTCCTGTACGTGTTTTATTTTTCATTCTATGCAGTTCAGAGGGTTGGAGTGCATGGTGCAGCAAAGGCATGGCTACAAGAACAGCTGAGAGCGCACATCTGGGTACCAAAACAAGTGACAGAGTGCACGATGGGAATGACCAAACCTCCAGTGACATACCTCCTCCACATGGCTACATCACCTAATCAGTCCCAAAGAGTTCCCTCCAAGCACCTGTTTCAGCCTCTGTGCGTATATGATATACGTGTTTTCTTGGTGTCCTCCAGCCCCTCTGGCTCTTACATTCTTTCTGCCTCCTCTTCCATGGGGTTCCCTGAGCTCTGAGGGGATGGATTTGACGGGGACATCTCATTTAGGGCTGAGTGTTCCAGGGTCTCACTCTTTGCGTACTATCTGGCTAGGAGTCTCTTCTGTGTCTTAGATGCTGTTCTGTTGCTGTGTGTAGTGGTATTTGCGCTGCCCATGACCTTAGGGGCTGGGCAGGACTAGAGACTTCAGTCTACAGCTGTGAGGACACAACATAGACAAGGCAACTCTTATTAAAGAAAGCAGTATTATTTTTTTTAATTTTTCAATGTGGGGGCCTGGCTTACACTTTCTGTGGTTAGGTTCATCATCATGATGTCAGGGAGCATGACTGCACACATGGCCCGGGAAAAGTAGCTGAGAGCTCACTCCTAATCCACACACTGAGGACGGGGGCAAGAGACATACATACACACATACATACATACATACATACATACAGACATATACACACACATACTCAGGGATATGCATGGACTTTTGAATCCTCAAAGCCAGTCTCCAGTGACTCTCTCCTCCCACAAGGCCACACCTCCTGGTCTTTTCAAATAGTGCCACTCCCTGGCAACCAACCAATGAGCCATGAATGGCAACCATTCAACCCACCACAGGCTATGTTCCCATCTGTTACATAAATACATATATATAGGTACAAATACACATACACATATTTTTAGGAAACTTCTACGATGTTAGGCTTCGCTACAACAATGGCCCTGAATTTTATCTGTCTCTCCTGTATTTCCGCCCTCATCCTTATTTCCCTTCCCTCTCTCCACTTGATCCTCCCATTCCAAACACCTATCCATCCATAAATGTCTAGTCTATTTCCCTTTCCTGAGGAAATATATGACAGGTATTTTTGACAGGCTATAATACACATTGTAGGTACATTGAGATGGGTCAGGAAATAATAGCAATTACCACCAAGATTGACAACCTGAGTTCGACTCCCAGAACCCAGTTAATGGAAGGGGAGAATCAACTCCCTCAAGTTTTCCTCAGAGTTCACCATGCATGACACCTGACAGGTGCACTCTGACTCCCTGGCCCAACACAAAGTAAATGAAATTTAAAAAAAGGAAAAACTGTATCCTCTAGATCAACAAAAACAGTAAGAGCTCCGACCCATAAAGAATTGTTTAGCCCAACCTGACCATTCCATTCCACCTGCAGAAACAAAACTCCTAGGCATCAAAAACAACTCACAGCCACAAATAGCCTTAGCTCCCTGGTGGCTACCCACATATATGTAGATAAACCTTTCCCCTAGCTCCTCTAAATGCACTCTGGCTGTAGCTGGCCAATAGTTTGAAGCCCCTCCCCTTTATAATAATAGCATCCTCAGCCCGTTCATATCCAGTCTTCTACTTCTCTGCCTCATTTTTCTTACACTTTCAAAGTTCCCAAAGTGATCAAAATACTTAAAACAAAACAACCTAAACAGTCAAAATCCAAACTGCCTTCAGAGATTTGAAAGCAAGCAAACAAACACAACCAAATGAGTCTACTCCACTAGAAGACATAACCTACTCCAGAGCACTGGATGTACTTGAGACTCCAAACACACGTGCTTTTATACCTTGTGACTCTTGGAACCGACCTGTCCTACTGGTTCACGGTTGCAAGGACGGTTTCTTAGATGCAACGACATTACATAAAGACCTTGTAACTCTTGCTGCAAGGGGCAGGAGAAGGAGACAAGAATTCTCAGGAACTTTGCACTTATCTGGGTATTTTCCCCAGATCATGCTCACAATGGGTGCCAGGCAGGACTTTCAGTGCTCTTCTCTCCCAGCCCGCCAAGGTGCACTCTAAGTTCTTCTTAAGGTAGTACTCTAGGACAGAATCGAATATTTAGACCAAAATGTGGCTAAAGACATTCCAAACACAAACCAGGGGGCGTTGAGAGGTGAGAATGACCCTCAAAGACATACAGACCTCTAACAATCTCTGCTGTAACACTGGGCGTGCTGTCCCGGATATGTAGGATCTTCCTTCTCTCATGGGAATATCCCAAGATGCCTAGGAAGCCGTATGGCAGGAAAGTGTAGCCGTAAGGCACACCGACTAATCGCAAAACTGTCGCACTGCGAGCAAAGATCGAGGTCTGTGAAAGTAAATACGACTCACATAGTACATGGACTAGTCCAAAGCATCTACATGTAGGGACTCAAAGAAATGAAAATGATTCTGGTTCGTTCATTTACTGTGGGAGTTTCTCCGCGGGATTTTTTTCTGGTTCTTATGAGCTAGCCGGTGAGGGTCCCCTCTAAGTCCTTCGCTCTTCAGGTGGTGGTAATCCATAGACTAGAAATCAATTTCCAGATTCTTAGGGTCTGGGTCTTTGGAAAATGCAAGGAGGCCCAACTGGGAGGTTCTTACAATTCTCTCCCTGCCTTGTTTTCCCCACCTCTAGGACTCATGAGAAGGACATTTCAATGGGACAAAAGGAACAGAACAAATCTCCTCATGATGGCAGTAGAGGTCCTGCTACAACCACCACAACATGGCACCCGCCCTTCGTGTCTGAAAAAAAAAACAAAAGAGAGGGGGAAAAAAACAGTAGAAGACCGAAGTGCCAGGAACCATTTCTGCCTCCATTCTATGTAGCTTGCTGGGACCAACTCTCAGCTTAGCATTTTTTCCCTCTTGGTCTTTAAAAAATGAAATTCTTCCTCCCTGTACGTGTTTTATTTTTCATTCTATGCAGTTCAGAGGGTTGGAGTGCATGGTGCAGCAAAGGCATGGCTACAAGAACAGCTGAGAGCGCACATCTGGGTACCAAAACAAGTGACAGAGTGCACGATGGGAGACCAAACCTCCAGTGACATACCTCCTCCACAAGGCTACATCACCTAATCAGTCCCAAAGAGTTCCCTCAAAGCACCTGTTTCAGCCTCTGTGCGTATATGATTTAGAGAAACGTGTTTTCTTGGTGTCCTCCAGCCCCTCTGGCTCTTACATTCTTTCTGTCTCCTCTTCCATGGGGTTCCCTGAGCTCTGAGGGGATGGATTTGACGGGGACATCTCATTTAGGGCTGAGTGTTCCAGGGTCTCACTCTTTGCGTACTATCTGGCTAGGACTCTCTACTGTGTCTTAGATGCTGTTCTGTTGCTGCATGTAGTGGTATTTGCTCTGCCCATGACCTTAGGGGCTGGGCAGGACTAGAGACTTCAGTCTACAGCTGTGAGGACACAACATAGACAAGGCAACTCTTATTAAAGAAAGCAGTATTACTTTTTTTAATTTTTCAATGTGGGGGCCTGGCTTACACTTTCTGCGGTTAGGTTCATCATCATGATGTCAGGGAGCATGACTGCACACATGGCCCGGGAAAAGTAGCTGAGAGCTCAGTCCTAATCCACAAGCTGGGGGGGGGGGGCAAGAGACCTACACACATACATACATACATACATACATACATACATACATACATACACATACACACACACACACACACACACAGACACACACACACACACACACACAATCAGGGATATGCATGGGCTTTTGAATCCTCAAAGCCAGTCTCCAGTGACTCTCTTCCTCCAACTAGGCCACACCTCCTGGTCCACTCCCTGGCAACCAACCAATGAGCCCATGAGGGCTCTTCTCATTCAAACCACCACAGGCTATGTTCCCATCTGTTACATAAATAAATATATATAGGTACAAATACACATACACATATTTTTAGGAAACTTCTACGATGTTAGGCTTCGCTACAACAATGGCCCTGAATTTTATCTGTCTCTCCTGTATTTCCGCCCTCATCCTTATTTCCCTTCCCTCTCTCCACTTGATCCTCCCATTCCAAACACCTATCCATCCATAAATATCTAGTCTATTTCCCTTTCCTGAGGAAATATATGACAGGTATTTTTGACAGGCTATAATACACATTGTAGGTACATTGAGATGGGTCAGGAAATAATAGCAATTACCACCAAGATTGACAACCTGAGTTCGACTCCCAGAACCCAGTTAATGGAAGGGGAGAATCAACTCCCTCAAGTTTTCCTCAGAGTTCACCATGCATGACACCTGACAGGTGCACTCTGACTCCCTGGCCCAACACAAAGTAAATGAAATTTTAAAAAAAGGAAAAACTGTATCCTCTAGATCAACAAAAACAATAAGAGCTCCGACCCATAAAGAATTGTTTAGCCCAACCTGACCATTCCATTCCACCTGCAGAAACAAAACTCCTAGGCATCAAAAACAACTCACAGCCACAAATAGCCTTAGCTCCCTGGTGGCTACCCACATATATGTAGATAAACCTTTCCCCTAGCTCCTCTAAATGCACTCTGGCTGTAGCTGGCCAATAGTTTGAAGCCCCTCCCCTTTATAATAATAGCATCCTCAGCCCGTTCATATCCAGTCTTCTACTTCTCTGCCTCATTTTTCTTACACTTTCAAAGTTCCCAAAGTGATCAAAATACTTAAAACAAAACAACCTAAACAGTCAAAATCCAAACTGCCTTCAGAGATTTGAAAGCAAGCAAACAAACACAACCAAATGAGTCTACTCCACTAGAAGACATAACCTACTCCAGAGCACTGGATGTACTTGAGACTCCAAACACACGTGCTTTTATACCTTGTGACTCTTGGAACCGACCTGTCCTACTGGTTCACGGTTGCAACGAGGGTTTCTTAGATGCAACGACATTACATAAAGACCTTGTAACTCTTGCTGCAAGGGGCAGGAGAAGGAGACAAGAATTCTCAGGAACTTTGCACTTATCTGGGTATTTTCCCCAGATCATGCTCACAATGGGTGCCAGGCAGGACTTTCAGTGCTCTTCTCTCCCAGCCCGCCAAGGTGCACTCTAAGTTCTTCTTAAGGTAGTACTCTAGGACAGAATCGAATGTTTAGACCAAAATGTGGCTAAAGACATTCCAAACACAAACCAGGGGGCGTTGAGAGGTGAGAATGACCCTCAAAGACATACAGACCTCTAACAATCTCTGCTGTAACACCGGGCGTGCTGTCCCGGATATGTAGGATCTTCCTTCTCTCATGGGAATATCCCAAGATGCCTAGGAAGCCGTATGGCAGGAAAGTGTAGCCGTAAGGCACACCGACTAATCGCAAAACTGTCGCACTGCGAGCAAAGATCGAGGTCTGTGAAAGTAAATACGACTCACATAGTACATGGACTAGTCCAAAGCATCTACATGTAGGGACTCAAAGAAATGAAAATGATTCTGGTTCGTTCATTTACTGTGGGAGTTTCTCCGCGGGATTTTTTTCTGGTTCTTATGAGCTAGCCGGTGAGGGTCCCCTCTAAGTCCTTCGCTCTTCAGGTGGTGGTAATCCATAGACTAGAAATCAATTTCCAGATTCTTAGGGTCTGGGTCTTTGGAAAATGCAAGGAGGCCCAACTGGGAGGTTCTTACAATTTTCTCCCTGCCTTGTTTTCCCCACCTCTAGGACTCATGAGAAGGACATTTCAATGGGACAAAAGGAACAGAACAAATCTCCTCATGATGGCAGTAGAGGTCCTACTATACCCACCACAACATGGCACCCGCCCTTCGTGTCTGAAAAAAAAAAAAACAAAAGAGAGGGGGAAAAAAACAGTAGAAGACCGAAGTGCCAGGAACCATTTCTGCCTCCATTCTATGTAGCTTGCTGGGACCAACTCTCAGCTTAGCATTTTTTCCCTCTTGGTCTTTAAAAAATGAAATTCTTCCTCCCTGTACGTGTTTTATTTTTCATTCTATGCAGTTCAGAGGGTTGGAGTGCATGGTGCAGCAAAGGCATGGCTACAAGAACAGCTGAGAGCGCACATCTGGGTACCAAAACAAGTGACAGAGTGCACGATGGGAGACCAAACCTCCAGTGACATACCTCCTCCACAAGGCTACATCACCTAATCAGTCCCAAAGAGTTCCCTCAAAGCACCTGTTTCAGCCTCTGTGCGTATATGATTTAGAGAAACGTGTTTTCTTGGTGTCCTCCAGCCCCTCTGGCTCTTACATTCTTTCTGTCTCCTCTTCCATGGGGTTCCCTGAGCTCTGAGGGGATGGATTTGACGGGGACATCTCATTTAGGGCTGAGTGTTCCAGGGTCTCACTCTTTGCGTACTATCTGGCTAGGACTCTCTACTGTGTCTTAGATGCTGTTCTGTTGCTGCATGTAGTGGTATTTGCTCTGCCCATGACCTTAGGGGCTGGGCAGGACTAGAGACTTCAGTCTACAGCTGTGAGGACACAACATAGACAAGGCAACTCTTATTAAAGAAAGCAGTATTACTTTTTTTAATTTTTCAATGTGGGGGCCTGGCTTACACTTTCTGTGGTTAGGTTCATCATCATGATGTCAGGGAGCATGACTGCACACATGGCCCGGGAAAAGTAGCTGAGAGCTCAGTCCTAATCCACAAGCTGGGGGGGGGGGCAAGAGACCTACATACACACATACATACATACATACATACATACATACATACATACATACATACACATACACACACACACACACACACACACACACACACACACACACACACACACACAATCAGGGATATGCATGGGCTTTTGAGTCCTCAAAGCCAGTCTCCAGTGACTCTCTTCCTCCAACTAGGCCACACCTCCTGGTCTTTTCAAATAGTGCCACTCCCTGGCAACCAACCAATGAGGCCATGAGGGCTCTTCTCATTCAAACCACCACAGGCTATGTTCCCATCTGTTACATAAATACATATATATAGGTACAAATACACATACACATATTTTTAGGAAACTTCTACGATGTTAGGCTTCGCTACAACAATGGCCCTGAATTTTATCTGTCTCTCCTGTATTTCCGCCCTCATCCTTATTTCCCTTCCCTCTCTCCACTTGATCCTCCCATTCCAAACACCTATCCATCCATAAATATCTAGTCTATTTCCCTTTCCTGAGGAAATATATGACAGGTATTTTTGACAGGCTATAATACACATTGTAGGTACATTGAGATGGGTCAGGAAATAATAGCAATTACCACCAAGATTGACAACCTGAGTTCGACTCCCAGAACCCAGTTAATGGAAGGGGAGAATCAACTCCCTCAAGTTTTCCTCAGAGCTCACCATGCATGACACCTGACAGGTGCACTCTGACTCCCTGGCCCAACACAAAGTAAATGAAATTTTAAAAAAAGGAAAAACTGTATCCTCTAGATCAACAAAAACAATAAGAGCTCCGACCCATAAAGAATTGTTTAGCCCAACCTGACCATTCCATTCCACCTGCAGAAACAAAACTCCTAGGCATCAAAAACAACTCACAGCCACAAATAGCCTTAGCTCCCTGGTGGCTACCCACATATATGTAGATAAACCTTTCCCCTAGCTCCTCTAAATGCACTCTGGCTGTAGCTGGCCAATAGTTTGAAGCCCCTCCCCTTTATAATAATAGCATCCTCAGCCCGTTCATATCCAGTCTTCTACTTCTCTGCCTCATTTTTCTTACACTTTCAAAGTTCCCAAAGTGATCAAAATACTTAAAACAAAACAACCTAAACAGTCAAAATCCAAACTGCCTTCAGAGATTTGAAAGCAAGCAAACAAACACAACCAAATGAGTCTACTCCACTAGAAGACATAACCTACTCCAGAGCACTGGATGTACTTGAGACTCCAAACACACGTGCTTTTATACCTTGTGACTCTTGGAACCGACCTGTCCTACTGGTTCACGGTTGCAACGAGGGTTTCTTAGATGCAACGACATTACATAAAGACCTTGTAACTCTTGCTGCAAGGGGCAGGAGAAGGAGACAAGAATTCTCAGGAACTTTGGACTTATCTGGGTATTTCCCCCAGATCATGCTCACAATGGGTGCCAGGCAGGACTTTCAGTGCTCTTCTCTCCCAGCCCGCCAAGGTGCACTCTAAGTTCTTCTTAAGGTAGTACTCTAGGACAGAATCGAATGTTTAGACCATAATGTGGCTAAAGACATTCCAAACACAAACCAGGGGGTGTTGAGAGGTGAGAATGACCCTCAAAGACATACAGACCTCTAACAATCTCTGCTGTAACACTGGGCGTGCTGTCCCGGATATGTAGGATCTTCCTTCTCTCATGGGAATATCCCAAGATACCTAGGAAGCCGTATGGCAGGAAAGTGTAGCCGTAAGGCACACCGACTAATCGCAAAACTGTCGCACTGCGAGCAAAGATTGAGGTCTGTGAAAGTAAACAGGACTCACATGTAGGCAGCAGTAAGTTTGCTGCCTTAATTTTAAATGCCCTTTTTTGTTCTATCCCAGTTAAGTTGTTTGTGTGAAAAATGTGCAGTTGGATTCTGGAGGGTGCTGAGGATCCGTTCCCCTGTGGTTTTTCCTGTTTGGAATACCGTGTCTGGCTTGCCTATGGATACAGAGTAGTCTTTCCTTGACTCCTGCTGTTGGAGGGGTATATAAGCCCAGGTTGGTACGAATACAGAGAGCTGCTTCCCTGACAAACTGAAACTGGGTGTCTAGAGTGCTCTTTAACCTCGGTGTCCCTCGCCAGATTTTGTGCTCCAGCTGCGCGGGCCACAGCACTCACATAGTACATGGACTAGTCCAAAGCATTTACAGGTAGGCATTCAAAGAAATGAAAATGATTCTGGTTAGTTCATTTACTGTGGGAGTTTCCCCGCAGGATTTTTTTTTTTCTTGTTCTTATGAGCTAGCCGGTGAGGGTCCCCTCTAAGTCCTTCGCTCTTCAGGTGGTGGTAATCCATAGACTAGAAATCAATTTCCAGATTCTTAGGTTCTGGGTCTTTGGGGAATTCAGGTGAGCCCACCTGGGAGCTTCTTACAATTCTCTCTGTGCCTTGTTTTTCCCCACCTCTAGGACTCATGAGAACATTTCAATGGGACAAAAGGAATAGAACCCATCTCCTCATGATGGCAGTAGAGGTCCTACTATACCCACCACAACATGGCACCTGCTCTTCCTGTCTTAAAAAAAAAAAACAAAAGAGAGGGGGAAAAAAATAAACAGTAGAACACCGAAGTGCCAGGAACCATTTCTGCCTCCATTCTATGTAGCTTGCTGGGACCAAAGCACAGCTTAGCATTTTTTCCCTCATGGTCTTTAAAAAATAAAATTCTTCCTCCCTCTACATGTTTTGTTTTTCATTCTATGCAGTTCAGAGGGTTGGAGTGCATGGTGCAACAAAGGCATGGCTACAAGAACAGCTGAGAGCGCACATCTGGGTACCAAAACAAGTGACAGAGTGCACGATGGGAATGACCAAACCTCCAGTGACATACCTCCTCCACAAGGCTACATCACCTAATCAGTCCCAAACATTTCCAGTCTATAGACCACTATTGGGTTAAAAAATGATGATCTGCACAATTTGTTCAAAACCTTAGAGGGTGACAAGGACTTAAATAGTCCAAGAGAATTATCAGTAGAAGCTGAGAAAGAATTAGCTTTGGTGGAAGACAAAATACAGGATGCACATGTGGATCATGTGGATCCAAAGCTTGATTGCATTTTGGTTATTTTACCCTCTAAGCATTCCCCTATAGGAATTTTAATGCAGAGGGAAGATATTATATTGGAATTGACATTTCTACCAAATAAGCAGAGTAAAAAATTAAAAACTTATGTGGAAAAAATCTCTGACTTGATTTTAAAAGGAAAATTGAGACTTCATCAATTAGCAGGAATAGACCCAGCAGAAATTGTAGTACCTTTATCTAATGATGAAATTGACAAATTATGGGCAGAAAGTGAGCTTTGGCAAGGAGCTTGCAGCAATTTTTTCGGGAGAGATTAACAACAAATGTTCCAAAAGTGACAGAATTAAACTTATAAAGAGAGCTAACTGGATCTTGCCTTGTATTGTATGTGAAACACCAATATCTGGAGCCCCTACATTTTATACAGATGCAAACAAATAAGGAAAGGCTGGTTACAAATCATAAAACTTAAGTAAAGTGGCTCAAAGTCCTTATAATTGTTTCCAAAAATCAGAATTATATGCTATTGTGATGGTATTAGTGGATTTTTCAGAACCTCTCAACATAGTTACTGACTCTCAGTATGCTGAAAGTGTGGTTTTGCATATTGAAACTGCAGAACTTATATCCCTGATGAGTCAGAATTAATTTCATTATTTATTCATTTACAAGAAATAATCAGGAATAGGAATCATCCCTTATATATAACCCATATGATCCCATATGAGTCTGCCAGGCCCTCTAGCACAAGGTAATGATGAGATCGATAAACTATTGATAGGAAGTGTGCTGGAGGACTCAGAATTTCAAAAAAAAATCATGTCAATAGCATGATGTAACCCAAAAGGCACTCAGAGGGATGAAATCTGGCAGATGGATGTATTTCATTTTGTAGAATTTGGAAAATTGAAATTTGCACAGCACACCACTGATAGCTATTCAGGATTTCAATGGGTGACTGCTCTGAGTTCCAAAAAGGCTGATTCTGTAATCATGCATTTACAAGAAGTTATGGCCATCATGGGTATACCTGTAAAAATTAAAATGTCAATGCTCCAGTATGTGTCTCTGGTAAAGTGAAATAATTTTTTACCTATTACAATATAGAACATATTCCAGGTATACCACACAGTCTTACAGGCCAAGCAGTCATAGAAAGATCAAATCAAACTCTAAGGGATATGCTAAATAAACAGAAAGGGATAACAAAAAACCCCAGTAGTAGATTACATAATGATCTATTAACTTTGAATTTCTCAGTGCTAATGAGAAAAGAATAACAGCTGTGGAGAGACACTGGATAAAATAAACCTACAGAATTAAATCAACCTGTATACTTTAAAGATGCACTGACCTCAGAATGGAAACATGATATATATTATGTTTGGAATGATTTTGTTGCTTTTGTTTCTGCAAGAGAAGAAAAGCTATGGATACCATTAAAATGGATAAAGGTTCAATTTTAACAAGATATGCCTCTTAATTAGAAGAGGTGATAGTTCATCAATGAGCATGACCATTCAATTTTAACTAACATACCACAAACAAATGCTTTTCATTTAATCAGATATAACTTGCCTAAAGGGAACCTCCCCAAAGTTAGGGTTGGGGAAAGGTTTTTCTTTTCATCTTTCAGGAGAATGAAGGCTAAGGAATCTGAAGAACATTGGACAAATGAGACATCTAAAGAAAAGGACAAATCATCCAGAAAAAAATGTCTCAAGTAAAAGAGTAAGTTGGCCTATTGGTATATCACATATCTAACAGAATAAAATTTCGTAAGTCTTCCTAAATGTTTGTTTCTGCTGTTCTTTACAGACATATAATGCAAACCATCTTTTTGTATTCCCAATTTAATTAAAAATTTAAGCTGGCTTTGGAGTTGGAGAATGGCTCTCTCCTTCTCTAAACCCAAGCAAGCTTGTTAAAAGAAAATGCAAAATCTCTGTTTCATGTCAGAAGAGCCACCTGATATAGGACAGAAGAAACCCCAAAATTAAGGGACTATTCTATTGCCACTAATCTCATAATTTTTTGGTTTTATTTTGACTCTTTAAAGCTTTTCTTAAGGTATGAATTTTATATCAAAATTTATAAGATTTATATATATATTTGAAATTTTTGTCAAGATGCTAATTGTCATATACAGTACTAACTAATTCTAGAAAAAAGGCTTCATCTAGCTTTCTGTACATGATTTTGGGTTTGAGTTTGTATCAATTTTCTGTAGGGAACCATCACTAGGCCTGACAGCAACTTTGAAGTCTCCAAAAAGATGATGGGACCCCACAATGACAATCCCATCAGGACAATGATAATACCACTAAGACGGCAAACACCACCCAAAGGTCAGTTTTTGACTACAAACTGCTCAAGACAATTTTGAGATGGCTGAGATGATCCAGCCTCACAAACTACTTGAGCAAGAACTTGAGACAATTCCTGCACTTTCATATAATGTAGAGACTGTACAATACATGATACAGCTGCCTCTCCAAGGACTTGACAATTAACCCAAAATTTTTCTTTTCAAGATACTCTAAAAATGTTGTTGCCCCCAATCAACAGGCAGTAATTTTAAGAACAAGATGCCCATATTTCAAAGAGGTGGAGTGGGTGGTTTTTGGTCATTCAATGGGTTATGGATAATTGTCATTGTTTAGGATGGTTGGTCAGAAGTTGTTAATTGATAATGGTCAGGAAAAAAACTGAACAAAGGAGATTAGATTTAGGGTTCTTGTTTGAAAAACAAAGAAAACAAAGAAAGAAAAGCAAATATAGGTAAGAGGTAGATTAATGAATCTACTCTGAAAAAAGATATAAAAATGATACGATAAATGGCAAATTATTGAATCTATGCTGAAAAGAAAAAAAGAAAATACAGATATGGTAAGATAAAAGGTAGATTATTGAATCTACTTTGAAAAAAATATATAGAAATTATAGATAAAGGGTAGATTATTGAATCTACTCTGAAAAGAAAAAAGAAAGAATATGGATATGATAAGATAAAAAGATAGATTATTGAATCTACTTTTAAAAAGCAACTACTAGTTTTAATTATTTTACATTGGATTGGATTTTTGTATATTGTATACAATTATGTATATTGATACAAATTTGAAATTGATTTTGTTAGAAAATACTCTACATATATTTCTAATCTTGTTCAAGGTATTGTGCCTTTAAAGTTCATTTAACAATGTAATGCAAATTGCTAGTCCTTGAAAGTTATTATTACCTACTAATTAGGATATAAATAAATGAAAATTTTTAGTTATTACAATCAAACTTGAAGTCATATTAGCTATGTTTTCAAGGTCAAGCAGAGATATATTTTAGATAGATAGTTCATCTTCAAACACTTAAGAGATTTACAGAATATGGCATTTAAGATGTTTTAATAACATAGATTCTTTTTTTTATCACAATGTGACATGTCTGCTCCTGGCAGCACCAATTTACTTCAGAGAAGAAGATGGACATTGAAGAACTACTTATGGAGTTTACTTTCATTGTGGCAAGTTAGCCACTGGGCAGTAAAATGCCCTTACCTCACCTGCTGACAGTATGCTGTCCAAATGGACAAGCATTACACAAAAGGAAGGACTGCTGATCCTTTGCCAAGACAAGGTAGGAAGGTCCTTTAGAATATCCTGCTGCACAGATGAGTCTGTCAGATATGCTAGGCCTGTGTGCTGTAGATGGATGCCCCAATGTTGCAGAGAAATCTTGGGTGACTGTCCAGGTAGCCAGCTGTTTCTGTCATTTCTCACATTTTTGAAAGTTGCTTGTTTGCATTAATTCCTTACTCAGTTAATATGACTTCCTTCTTGGTTCTCTGAGGTAGTAGAAGATTAGATAGTTATAGTTTTACTTGTTACTCCCTGAAGAGGTACAAAGCATATAAGTTTGAAAGACATCAATAGATAGTTTTTGGTTGGTAATACAAATTAGAGTATAACATGATTTAGGTACAACATTTTAGACTCATCAAGATAGGATAAAAAAGGGAATTTTTTGTTTGAATTTGTCAAATGTTAATGGATAGGGAAATTTTAATGTAACTCTTGATTGTATATATTGTACTTATTGTACATAGTTTTTCTTGTATTAGTTATTATTTTAGACAAAAAAGGGAAATGTGGTGATATATTGTATACCCCAATATATTGTGTAACCTAATAAACTTATCTGGTGATCACAGGACAGAGCCAGCTGCTATGGAGATCACTCTGTATAAATAAAATGCTGATTGGCCAGTAGCCAGGCATGAAGTATAGGCAGGAGAAGCAGAGAAGAGAATTCTGGGAAGTGGAAGGCTGAGGCAGAGAGACATTGCCAGCCACCGCCATGAGAAGATGTTAAGATACCGGTAAGCCACAAACCATGTGGCAACTTCTTGATTAATAGAAATGGGTTAATTTAAGATATAAGAACTAGATAACAAGAAGCCTGCTGTGGCCATACAGTTTGTAAGTAATATAAGTCTCTGTGTGTTTACTTGGTTGGGTCTAAGCAGCTGTGGGACTGGCAGGTGAGAGAGATTTGTCCTGACCGTGGGCCAGGCAGGACTGGAGAAAACTCCAGCTACACCTTTTCATTTCTGATTTTGTTAATTTCGTTATTCTCTCTCTTTCTTTTAGTTAGTTTGGATAAGAGTATATCTGGGATATACTTATCTGGGATAAACTTATCTGGGATCAGAGAATAGAATAGCCACTAGATTAGACATAGAGGCCAAACAGTGGTAGCACACACACTTAATCCTATCTCTTCAGAGGAAAATATCCACCTAGATCTCTGTGAGTTCAAGGCCACACTGGGAACAGAGTCAGGCAGTGGTGGTATATACCTTTAATCCCAGCACTTGAGTTCTCATTACTTTGCTTGGAAAGCACACATGCCTTTAATCCTAGGAAGTGAGATGACTGTGTGGAGAATGGTATATAGGGTGTGAGGAGACAGGAACTAAGAAGCAGTTAAACTGAGATCCTCAGGGGTGAGGACTCAGAGGTTTTTCAGTCTGAGGATTTGTGGAAACAGGATCAGCTGAGGAGGTCGTGAGGTGAGGTTGGCTGTGGCTTGTTCTGTTTCTCTGATCCTTCAGCTTTCACCCCAATATCTGGCTCCAAGCTTTTTTTCTTATTAAGACCTTTCAAGATTTGTGTTACAGAACATTTTTTACAATTACCTTGGCTTGATGGCAAGTGATGGAAAAGTCCTTTTTCAAACCTTTACTACTTACATGGTGTTATGAAATTCTGAAGCTTGTAGTACATTACCTATTAATCATTGATCAATCTCATCATTACCTTGTTTTAGAGGACCTGGCAGACTCATATGGGATCTGATGTGTGAAATCTATCTATCTATCTATCTATCTATCTATCTATCTATCTATCTATCTATCTATCTATATTATATTCCTTATTTCTGATGATTCCTATAATTGTATTGGTAGTGAAACTAATTCTGTGTTACCAGGAATAAATTCAGTAGTTTCAATATGTAAAACAACTCTCTCTGCATATTGAGTTCAGTAACTATATTGAGAGGTTCCATGGAGCCCATTGGTACCATATGAACGGCATGCAGTTCTGCCTTTTGTACAGAATTTTAGGTGCTTTGAACCACTTTACTAAAGTCTCCTGAGTTATATCCTGCCTTTCCTGATTTATTTGAGTTAGTATATAATGTGGGGACTCTAAAGATTGGTTTTTACCATACAATGTGAGGAAGGACCCATTCAGCTCTTTTTATGAATTCTATTCTCTTGCTTTTGGGATAACAATTGTCAATCTCTCCCAAACAGTTACTGTATGCTCTTTGCCAGTATTCATTATCTTTCCATAAAGAGTAAATTTCCTCATCATTTAAAGGTACTACAAATTCTGCTGTGTCCATTCCTGTCAACTGACAAAGTCTTAATTTTCCTTTTAGAATCATATCAGAGATCGTTTCTATATAAGTCTTTAACTTCTTACTCAGTTTACATGGTTGAAATCCATTTCAATATAGTATCTTCCTCTGCATCAAAATTCCTGTGGGGGAGTGTCTGGAAGGCAGTATGACCAGAATGCAAGTAAGTACTGGATTTACAAGATCCACATGTGCCTCTCATAATTTCTTTTTTTTTTTTTTTACTAGAACCAATTCCTTCTCAGCTTCAGCTGAAATTTTTCTTTGATTATATAAGTACTTATCCCCTATAAGTGTATTGGCCAAATTTACTAGTCCATTTTTAGGTATTCCAAAGATGGTCTGTAAGTTGGAAATGCTTCCTAACCATTTTTGAAAATCATTAAGAGTCCACAATCAATCTCTCCTGAGTTGTACCTTCTGGGGTGTAATTTTTTGTAGATCTAGTCTACATCCTAAGTAATTAATAGAATTTCCTCCTTGTATTTTTCAGGAGCAATTTGTATTCCCCAGCAAGGCAAAACTTTCTTTACTCCTTCAAACATGTTTTCTATGGTACCTAACTTTGGATCAGCTAATAAGATATCCTCCATATAGTGGTAGATTATAAATTGTGGAAAATTTTTTTTTTTATTTTGCAATACAATTCAGTTCTACATATCAGTCACGGATTCCCTTGTTCTCCCCCCTCCTGTCCCCCTCACCTTCCCCCCAGCCCGCCCCCAATTCCCATCTCCTCCAGGGCAAAGTCTTCCCCACAGACTGAGTTCAACCTGGTAGGCTCAGTCCAGGTAGGTCCAGTCCCCTCCTCCCAGGCCGAGCCAAGCAATCCTGCATAGGCCCCAGGTTTCAAACAGCCAACTCATGCAATGAGCACAGGACCCGGTCCCACTGCCTGGATGCCTCCCAAACAGATCAAGCCAATCAACTGTCTCACCCATTCAGAGGGCCTGATCCAGTGGGGACCCCTCAGCCATTGGTTCATAGTTCATGTGTTTCCATTCATTTGGCTATTTGTCCCTGTGCTTTATCCAACCTTGGTCTCAACAATTCTCGCTAATTGGACTCGCAGAGATCCACCCAGGGCCTAGTCATGGATCTCTGCATCCAGATCCCTCAGTAGTTGGATGAGGTTTCTAGCACGGCAATTAGGGTGTTTGGCCATCCCATCACCAGAGTAGGTCAGTTCGGGCTGTCTCTCGACCATTGCCAGCAGTCTGTTGTGGGGGTATCTTTGTGGATTTCTGCGGGCCTCTCTAGCACTTTGCTTCTTCCTATTCTCATGTGGTCTTCATTTACCATGGTCTCCTATTCCTTGTTCTCCCTCTCTGTTGTTGATCCAGCTGGGATCTCCCGCTCCCCCAAGCTCTCTTTCCCTCGACCCTTGCCTTTCACTACCCCCACTCATGTTCAGGCTGTTCATGTAGATCTCATTCCATTTCTCTGTCATTGGGCGATCCCCGTGTCTTTCTTGGGGTCCTGTTTTCCAGGTAGCCTCCCTGGTGATGTGAGTAGCAGACAAGTCAGCCTTGTCCCACATCTAGTATCCTGCTATGAGTGAGTACATACCATGTTTGTCTTTCTGAGTCTGGGTTACCTCACTCAGGATGATTTTTTCTAGATCCATCCATTTGTCTGCAAACCTCATGATGTCATTGTTTTTCTCTGCTGAGTAGTATTCCATTGTGTATATGTACCACATTTTGTTTATCCATTCTTCAGTTGAAGGGCATCTAGGTTGTTTCCATGTTCTGGCTATTACAAACAATGCTGATATGAACATAGCTGAACAAGTGCTCTTATGGTGTGGTTGAGCATTCCTTGGGTATATGCCCAAGAGTGGTATAGCTGGATCTTGGGGGAGATGGATTCCCAATTTTCTAAGAAAGCACCATATTGATTTCCAAAGTGGTTGTACAAGCTTGCATTCCCACCAGCAGTGGAGGAGAGTTCCCCTAGCTCCACATCCTCTCCAGCATAAGGTGTCTTCAGTGTTTTTGATCTTAGCCATTCTGACAGGCATAAGGTGGTATTTCAGAGTTGTTTTGATTTGCATTTCCCTGATGATTAGGGATGTTGAGCAATTCCTTAAATGTCTTTCGGCCATTTGAGTTTCCTCTGTTGAGAATTCTCTGTTTAGTTCTATAGCCCATTTCTTAATTGGACTGTTGGGCATTTTGATGTCTAATTTCTTGAGTTCCTTATATATTCTGGATATCAGTCCTCTGTCGGATGTGGGGTTGGTGAAGATCTTTTCCCATTCTGTAGGCTGCCGCTTTGCCTTGTTGACCGTATCCTTTGCTCTACAAAAGCTTCTCAGTTTCAAGAGGTCCCATTGATTGATTGTTTCTCTCAGTGTCTGTGCTACTGGTGTTCTATTTAGGAAGTGGTCTCCTATGCCAATGCGTTCAAGACTACTTCCTACTTTCTCTTCTAGCAGGTTCAGAGTAATTGGATTTATGTTGAGGTCCTTGATCCACTTGGACTTAAATTTTGTGCACGGTGATAGATATGGATCTATTTGCAACCTTCTACATGTTGATATCCAGTTTTGCCAGCACCATTTGTTGAAGATGCTTTCTTTTTTCCATTGTGCACTTTTGGCTTCTTTGTCAAAAATTATATGTTCATAGGTGTGCGGATTAATGTCAGGGTCTTCAATTCAATTCCATTGGTCCACATGTTGGTTTTTATGCCAGTACCAAGCTGTTTTTATTACTGTAGCTCTATAGTAGAGCTTGAAGTCAGGGATGGTGATGCATCCAGAGGTGGCTTTATTGTACAGGATTGTTTTAGCTATTCTGGGGTCTTTGTTTTTCCATATGAAGTTGAGTATTGTTCTTTCCATGTCTGTGAAGAATTGTGCTGGTATTTTGATGGGGATTGCATTGAATCTGTAGATTGCTTTTGGTAAGATTGCCATTTTTATTATGTTAATCCTATTATTAAGAAATTGTCTATTCACTTTACATACCAATCACAGACCCCCTTATCCTTCCTTCCCCTCCCCCCAGCCTCCCACCACAATTATAGTATTGTGGTGATATTTTATTTGTGTCCCCCAATAAAGGTGATCAGAGGAAAAAGCCAGTCCTATAGTAAATATAGAAGTCAGGCAATGATAGCACATACTTTCTATCCTATCACTCAGGAGGCAGGGATCTGTCTGGATCTCTGTGAGTTCAAGGCCACAGTGTGAACAGAGCCAGGTGACACACACCTTAGATTCCAATACTAGTTAGCCATGGAGGTCTGGATGTCTGCACAGACAGACAGGACGTGACAGAGCTGGGCAGGAAGAGGAAGTGGTATAGCTGGCTAGAGAGAGCAAATGAGATAGCAGAACAAAAAGACACACTCTCTCAATAAATAATCCACACATATGATAACAGTATTAATTTATTCTTGGGAGCAGAGCCCTTATAACATCACCTATTAGAGGTCATCTTGCCA